ATAGGTATCTGACATCAAATTTAATATTAGGGAGAATATATCATAAAGAAAAATGAGGGATAATCTATTAGTAAGAAGAATATTATAGGAAAAAATAACTATTGAATATATATGCACACAAAAATATTCATAGTTCTTAGAAATTAATGAGTAGGAATGAGAAGTTTGAATAATAAGAAAAAGAGGGAAAAGATGCATATAAGCCAAACAGAATGTGAAATCTGGGAAACAAACACAGATATAAAAGAAGGTAAGAACAAAAAATGAGTACATTTCTAAGAAATTTTCTGCAAGTGTTGATAAGTCCTGTGGTAAAAGCCTTTGAACTAATTCAGCTCTTGCATATGACCAACATCCTCAAATAGGAACAGAACTTTAAAACTTCATAAAAACTTTATAATCAGACATCTGGAATAGCCAGGCCCATTGGTACACACCTGAATCATAGCAATCGGGAGGCTGGGCAGGAGGACTGCAAGTCTGAAAAGAGCTCGAGCAATTTAGTGAGACCCTGTCTCTAAATAAATAAATAAATAGGGCTGGCACTGTAGCTCAGTGGTAGAGTACCCTTGGGTCCAGTCTGCTGCTCTGAGGGGGAAAAATCTAGAATAAACACCATACTTAATAAAAAAAAACATAAATGAGTAAAGATATAATGTTACCATTAAGTTAAAGAAGAAAGGTACCACTTTTGCCACCACTGTTTAATCTGGTATTAAACACTCAGTCTAGTGGTCTAAGTGAAGAAAAAAAAGTAAGAGAATTAGGAGAGGAGATAAAGCTGTCATTTTGGGTAGACATAATCATCCCCATTGAAAAGCTAATGAAATAATCAGAGGAGTTATCAGACTAAGTTTAGTAAAAATGTTAGATATAAAAACCTTTAAGAATCAACAGCAGAACTGGGTTGTTGTAGCTCAATGGTAGAGTGCTTGCCTAGCGTGTGTGAAGCACTGGGTTTGATCTTTAGCACCACATATAAATAAATAAATAAAATAAAAGTCCATCAATAATTAAGGGAAAATATATATATATAATCTACAGCATCCAGAGTGGTAGAGCACACCTGAAATCACAGCAACTCAGGAGGCTGAGGCAAGAGGATCTCATGTTTGAGACTAGCCTCAGCAATTTAGTGAGGCCCTAACAACTTAATGAGTCCCTGTCTCAAAAAACAAAAAGGGCTGAGGACGTAGCTCAGTGGTAAACTGCTCTTAGGTTCAATTCCCAGCCGCATTTCCCCCCAACAAAAAGAATCAATAGCAAAGCCAGGTGCAGTGACTCACATCTGTAATCCAGTGACTTGGGAGTCTGAGGCAAGAGGATCACAAATTCAAGGCTAGCCTCAGCAATCTAATGAGACCCATCTCCAAAACAAACAAAAACCAAACAAACAAGTGTTGGGGATGTATCTCTGTGGTACCACTGAGCTACATCCCTAGCCCTGTTTTTTTCTTTTGAAACAGTGTCTCATTAAGTTGCTGAGGGTAGCCTCAAACTTGTGATCCTCCTGCTTCAGCCTCCAGAGTCGCTGGGATTACAGGCATGTGAGTGCCAGTGTGCCTGGCCTGAAACTTCATTTCAAAAAAGAATCAAGAGCAAGATGGGCTTTCCTATAGTCTCAGTGATTCAGGAGGCTGATGCAGCAGAATCACAAGTCTGAGGCCAGCCTCAGCAACTTAGCAAGAACCTTAGCAATTTAGTGAGATCCTGTCTCAAAATAAAAAGGACAGGGGGATGTATGTAGCTCAGTGGTAGAGTGTCCCAGAGTAGATGGGATTATAGGTGTGCACCACCAAACCTGGTTTCAACTGGATTTTTAAAATGAACTTAAAATTTTTATTCTACAATCTGTATAGGAGAATAAAAATTCACAATTGTCTGAGTCCTCAGAGAATGTCAAAGAGGGAGCTCTCTTGCCGTGTGTGGTGGTGCACGCCTAATCCCTGTGGCTCAGGAGGCTAAGACAGGAAGATTGTGAGTTCAAAGCCAGCCTCAGCAAAGGTGAGGTGCTAAGCAACTCAGTGAAACCCTCTCTCTAAATAAAATACAAAAAATGGACTTGGGATGTGACTTAAGTGGTCAAGTGCCCCTAAATTCAATCCCTGGTACAAAAAAATAAAAGAGGGAGACTCTCTTTTCCAAATATTAAGGCATATTGTAAATCCACAGTAATGACAGGGTGTGATACTGATGCAGAAATGACAAGGACAACAGAACAGAACAGACCTCAGAAACAGACAATTTGTATCTAAGAACTGGCCACGTAGCGGGAGGTGGTACCCTGTAATCCCAGCAGCTGGTAGGAGGAGAGGGCCAAAGCAGGAGGATGGCAAGTTCAAAGCCAGCTTCAGAAGCTTAGCAAGGCCCTAAGCAACTTAGCGAGACCCTGTCTCAAAAGCAAAAAGGGATGGGGATGTTGCTCAGTGGTTAAGGGCCTTAGTCTCAATATCTGGTACCCCCAAATCAAACAAACAATAACAACAACAACAACAACAAAAAAACTTCTGACATGTGACAAAAACGATACAACAATTCACAAATTTATGGGAGAGAATTTACTAGATGGTGTTGGGGAATTGTCTGAGTAAAAGAATAAAAATAAAGCTGTACTTTTCCATTATACAATATAGCAATGTGGACAACAGATGGATTAGAAGTGAAAAGTTGAAAGATCAACTATAAAGCTAAGAGAAGAAAACAAGAGGAAATCTGGGGCCCAGGAGTAGGGGAATATTTTATTAACAACCCCCCAAAACACAAACATAAGACAAAATATGATCAATCTGACTATTAAGAAAGAGGATTTCTGTTCAATCAAGGATGTCACAGACACAGTTAAAAGGTTAATAGACTAAAGTATTTGACACATCTAAAGTTGACAAGAGATTAATATTTACAAGAAAAAGATGAAAAATGCAATTGAATAATAGCAAAGGAAACAAATAAGCAATTCATAGGAAGGAAGACTAGTTACATCCTTGTTTATGATAATAAGGAATTGAAGACAACCTAGCTGTCCACTCCCAGGGGAACAGGAATTTAAAATGTGGTAGACGCGCACCAGGAAACACTATGTGGCAAGAAGCAGCAACACTCAAGACATACATGTATCAACATGGAAGAATCCAAGACAGTGAAAAAAGTAGGAAAGCATGAAAGTTACAGCGGTGTCATTGTATAAACTTTTACATACACCAAATAACACTGCTTAATTTGAAAGGATATATACATAACAGGAGTCACATATCAAGAAAGTAAGAGTGCCAGACACGGTGGTACATACCTGTAATCCCAGCAATTTGGAAAGCTAAGGCAAAAGATTATAAATTCAAAGTCAGCCTCCACAATTTAGAGCAACCCTATCTCAAAAAAATAAAAAAGGGTCACTAGGTATGGTGGCGCACGCCTGTATAGCCACTTGAGAGGCTGAGGCAGGAGGATCCCAAGTTTGAAGCCAACCTCAGCAATTTAGCAAGACCCTATGTCAAAATAAAATATAAAAAGAGCTGGAGATGTGGCTCCGTAGATAAGGACCCCTGGGTTCAATCCCTAGGACCAAAAAAAAAAAAAAAAGAGGGGTGCTGGGGATGTAACTCAGTAGTAGAGTATCCCAGGGGTCAATCCACAGCACCTCTCCCCCCAAAAAAGGTAAGAGTGGGTGCCTATGGGATAGAGCAGTGTGGGGACTAAGGAAGGAGGGGGAAGCCTAATACAACTTGAGGGAAGGAGTTTTTGTACTGACAATGTTCTGTGTGTGAATCAGGTCATATGATTTTTTATTTAAAAACTTTTTTTTTTTTTTTTTGGTATACTGAGGATTACACCCAGGGGCCTTTACCACTGAGCTACATCACTAAACCTTTATTTATTTATTACCAAGTTTCTGAGGCTGGCCTCCAACTTGGGGTCTTCCTACCTCATCCTCCTGTTACGAGGAATACAGGCGTGCACCACTGCACCACACAAGGCATAGAATTCCTGCATTGCTTTGCTTCTGAGGTACAATAAAGTGACAATCAGGTACAATACATCCTTACATATAGTTTGTAACTGCAGAGGCCATTTGCCTGTGATGGAGAACCTAAGGCCATCAGGGGGTCACCTGTGGAGTCTGCCTGATATTTTGGCAGATGGGGACAGAGAGCTGGATCTCAGTGACATGGAATCACTGGATAAAGCTTTCACCTATACCAGGGTTCACTCTTAAGGTTAGTCAGTTATATGAGTCAAGATATCATTTACTTTTTTTTGGCAATGCTGGGGATGGAATCCGCTTGGCCCATGCTCTACAACTGAGCCCCAGCCCCATTTTTAAAAAAATTTTTAGTTATTAACTTTATTTATTTTTATGTAGTGCTAAGAATCAAGCCCAGTGCTTCACGTGTGCTAGGCAAGTGCTCTACCACTAAGCCACAACTCTAGCCCCTCCCTTTATTTTTTTTCAAATATTTAGTTGTAGATGGACACAACTATCTTTATTTTTATGTGGTGCTGAGGATCAAACCCAGTGCCCCATGGGTGCAAGGCAAGTGCTCTAGCACTAAGCCATAACCCCAGCCCTCCCTCTACTTTTTTTTTTTGGTTCTGGGGGTGAACCAGGGCGCTTTGCCACTGAGCCATATCCCCAGCACCCGCTTTTTTAAAATTTTGAGACAGGGTCTCACTGAGTTGCTTGGGCCTCACTAAGTTGCTGAGGTTGGCTTTGAACTTGTGATCCTCCTGCCTCAGCCTCCTGAGCTGCCAGAATTACAGGCACACGCCATCTGGCCCAGCTTCCCTTTACTTTTTTTAAACCAGGGGTTTCTGATGCCTGGAATGAAAGAATTTAACTGGCTTTTATCTTTGCCTATATGTTAAACAGTAACTATACTGTATTTTTACAAAAACACCAAGGCTTTACATCTGTATTTTGGAAAAATAAGAGAGCAAAAGGAAGCATTAATTGAAAAAGCAAAAAGACAATCCCAGTGCCTCCCCTGGCTCTTTGTATGTGCTAGGAACCATGCTGGGTGCTTTCCAGATTTCTGATTCAATCACACCTGCCGGGTCTCCATCACCCTGTGGATGAGGAAAATACACCAAAGGAGCTCAGGATCACATCTACAGTGACACAGCGGTGTACAGAGGCAGGTAAGCCTAAGTCTGTCTAACACCAACTTCTCCTGCTTCACATTATGTCATCCTACTCGAAAAGAGAGAGTGGGGAAATGGTGAAGGGACATACACAGAGACACAGAAGAGGTAAATATACAACAAGACAGAAAAACAAGTCACATTTTTTTTTTTTTTTTTTTTTTTTAGAGAGAGAGAGAGAGAGAGAGAGAGAATTTTAATATTTATTTTTTAGTTTTCGGCGGACACAACATCTTTGTTGTATGTGGTGCTGAGGATCGAACCTGGGCCGCACGCATGCCAGGCGAGCACGCTACCACTTGAGCCACATCCCCAGCCCCTGAAGGTACATGTTAATGAGACACAGCCAATTCTGAGGTAAGGACACTCCGTCACATGTCAGAGTATACCTACACAACAGGCTGTCATTGTCCTTTGAAAAGTACAACATGATCTCACAACATGACCCAAAATCCTTGGTGCACCCAGAATTTTCTCTTCTGCTTCCATTTCTAATTTTCAAAGTTCTTTTAAAGAAAAGATTTATTTTCTCATTTCTCAAGGCTCTATGTGTAGTTTCAGACACCGACTTTCAGATCTAGAGTATGAGATTATTTATTGTCCATCCCAAAATAAACTTCTGATGGTCCATTTGCTAAACATACAGACTGCAGATATATAAAAGATACTGTGAGTTTTACCTGAATACCATCTGTACAAGTGTCACAACTCTGGATTTCTATGCAACTTAAAAAGAGTAAGGTAGACTGCTATGTACTGATGTGGAATAATTTCCAATATAACAGAAAAAAAAGCTACAGTACAGTGGGTATGTGTGCTAAATTCAGGACCAAAAGTCAGATCCATACTTCTGCTCATACCTGGAGAAACTGGTGGCAGCAGTTGCTCTGGGGAAGGAAAATGGGGATTTAAGGGAAGGGAGGAGATTGGCTTTGCACTCACTGGTCATCCATGTACGAACTTGGTACTGTTCTTTTTCACCAAGTGCAAGGATAATCTCTTTAAAAACATTGTTTTATTTTAAACCAAACTATCCATTGTGTCTTTCCTCCAAGCCAGATCCATTTTTGAGATCTAGAAGTGTATGAGTGGAAGAAATATACTCTTATCTTTTCCCTTCTTCTGGTAATGAAACAGGAAGAACTCCTTCCCATTTCTTTCTTTCTCTTCAAACAAGTTCATTTATCTGTTTATTTATTTATTTTGGTACCAGAGATTGAACCCAGGGGCACTTAACCACTGAGCCACATCCCCAGCCCTTTTTATTTCTTAATTTTGAGACAGGGTCTTGCTAATTTGCTGAGGTTCTTGCTAAGTTGCTGAGGCTGGCTTTGATCTTGAGATCCTCCTGCCTCAGTCTCTAGAGTTGCTGGGATTACAGGTGTGAATCGCCACACCCAGCCATATATTTGTTTCTTAAAGAAAAACAAACTAAAAAACCCCAGCTTACTTAAGTTATCCATGTTCATTGAAAACATCCAAGTAAATGGAAAAATAAGCACTCACACCACCACTTTTTTTTTTTCTTTTTTTGATTGTACCGGGGATTGAACTCAGGGGCACTCAACCACTGAGCCCTATTTTGTATTTTATTTAGAGACAGGGTCTCACTAAGTTGCTTAGCGCCTCACTAATTAGCTGAGGCTGGCTTTGAACTCATGATCCTCCTGCCTCAGCCTCCCTAGCTGCTGGGATTACAAAGCATCCACAACCATGCCCCGCTAGCCACTCTATATATTTATAGTGTGTCTGTTCAGCTATGTATTTTTCTGCACATACATATTTATACTTAACTGCATAGGGATACCTTGGTTATTTCTTTTGAATTTGTGTTATTTTTATTTGTGTAATTGATCTTCTCTACTGTGGCATATAGGTTGTTCCTGACTTTGACTATTATGAGCAGCACTGTGATGTTCACGAACCTCTGACAAGTCATTTTCCTCTAGAATAAGTCTGTAAGGACAAGAGCCTTCATCATCAATCTGTTAATCTAGCTTCTACCTCCACCTAGAGTTGCTGCTCCACGTGCCCTTTTAATTGGCCACCTGCTCCTTTGCCAAACTCCAATCTGAGATGATTTTGTGCCTCTGGAGAAGAGTAAAATGTGCTTCCTTCTGTAAGCATTCTTTTTTTAAAATTATTAGTTGTTGATGGACCTTTATTTATTTATTTATATGCGGTGCTGAGAATCAAACCCAGTGCCTCACACATGCTAGGCAAGCGCTTTTTCCACTGAGCCACAACCTCAGTCCCTGTAAGCATTCTTTTACACTCCACTGAGTAGCCATACTTTCTGTGTGCCTGGCCTTCATTCAATTCAACCATAGAGAACTAGTTTTATCTATTTACTTACTTGATTCTCTAAACTGATAGCTGAGCCTGAAACCTTCAACTCCATGGACCACACTTATTCTTTAAAAAATATATTTTTCCACATACAGTACATAATAAACAAAATTAGTATACATGATAGTAAATCTAACATTTATTCAATGCTATGTGTGAGACATTGTACATAGCTATTTTTTTTTTCCCCCTTCAGCACTGGGGATTGAACCCAAGGGTGCTGTGCTTTTGAGACAGGGTTTAAGTTGCCAAGACTGGCCTCAAACTTGCCATCCTCCTGCCTCAGCCTCCCGAACAGTTGGGATTACAAGGGTGTGTCACTGTACCCAGTCCTACCTAGACTTCTAAGATTGAATTCTTCCCCTATTCTTTTATCTTAATGACACTTTTCTTAGAAGTCCTATACAAATAAGGTTTTAAGAGATTATTACTCCTTGGATATTTCCCTTAAGAACATTTCAAACCCTGACCCTGGTAGCATCAACTCACATGTACACACCCTATTACCCAAAGGAATGCCCCCAGAGAACCTGCATTCAAGGACTCTCACTCCACTATCACCCTCCCCTTCTCAGTCACACGTATGGATCTCCCTGCTTCTTCCCGACGCCGACAAACCCCACCCACTTGGAGACCTTCCTCCAGCACCGTCTACCACACTGCGACTTCTCCTTTGCCTGGAACTCAAATGTCATGTGGCGCACAATTGTGGACACATTTGGATTAACTTTTAGTTTGTCAAGTGATTGAAAATTGTGACTATACTGAGAATGGGGACCATGTCCTTCACTTCTGTACCCCAGAGTGCCCTGCACAGTGTGATACAGACAACGTTCAACCACTACTGAAAGAATGTAGTATCAAAATCCAAATTAACCAATAACACAACAGACACGAGAATAATATGTACATTCCTTTTTATTTAATACAACAAACACGTAACACATACAAAAAGAAAAAAAAAAAAACCCACACTCATGTAAAAGGCCCTGTCACAAAGGATAGACAGGAAAAGTCTACACTGAATCAAATAAGGCTCTTGCTTCAAAACAGGGGTTTGCCAGCTACACCTGGAATATGAGCAAGGCTGTTGCAAAAAAAAAAAAATAAAAGAAAAATAAACAAAAGTCCCTGCACTGAGGAGTATATCCATGGGGTGATTTACTAAATTCACAGATCCATATTTAGGAATGTTTATGCTCTTTTGCAGATCCAAAATTCATCAGGGTTTTATGAAATGTGTGAATTGTTTTAGTTAAAGAAATTTACCTGCTCTTCTTTTTTCTTAGGAAAGCGTGGCAAGAGCTCCCTAAGAGTAGAGAGCAGCAAAGTCTGGAAGGCTTCACCATGAACGTTCAAAGGGCAGGTAGAACTGAGAATGCAAAGGCAAGGTGGCAGTGGGGACAACAATTTAACCCTAAATCATCTCCTGGTAGCTAGCATTTAATCAACCACTGGCAAAGACAGAATGGAAATACCTCGGCTCAGTGCAGGGTCAGTAGCAGCAGTTTGTCCATATTCCTGCTCCGAGCTGAGCCAGAAATTAAACAAGCACCAGTTCATCTCAAAAGAGCCTTATACAGACACACACGCACACACATACCCACACTCACTCATGTGTCATCACCACCCCCTTTTATTTAAATTTATTATTATTTTTTTTACTAAAATAATACAAAAAAGGGAGACAGGTATATTTACAAAAATCCATGGCTGGTACAGTACATAATTTTTAAGACACACTAAATGCTACAATCTTTCAGGTCCTGAGATTATTACAAATATCAACTCAAAGCTTGTGTTCAGGTCCAGTTTTTAAAGGAGGAAAAAAAAAATCCCAAAATATTAAGTCACACACTTATTTGAAATACAGCATTATCCCTTCAAGTTAGCAAAAATGTGCCTCCCTACCAGCAGGTGCAACACAGAAAGTCGTGCCCTTCACCTAGAGGACCGTCTGTCTACTCCTTGGGCTCTTGTGACTGCTTCTAAAACATGGTGGCATCTGTTAAGTGTGAAGGTGGCTAAAGAAGAGGGACTGTTTAATTGGAGGGAAGCCCCTCTGTAGAGTGGATATTTAAAGTTCTGTTTTTCCTTCTGCTGCAAACAAGTTTTTCCCTTATCAAAATTCATAAGGTAAGGATTGGAAATATGTGCTTACTCAGACTAAAAATCAGACTCATGATTTCGAATCAATAGCAAATAACAAATAGGCCTGCAGTTTCATAATAATTTTTACAACCTCAAATAAATCTTCTTGTTCATAATTAAAGAGAGAAAACACTCATTACTTAGTTACCTTAGTAGACTTTAATATATTATTTGGGGCATAAAAATTTTCAACCAGCCAGAGATTTATTTTCCTCTTCTTTAAAGTTTGACAGTGCTTAGCAAGAGACATGGGCGAGCCTCAGATTTACAGGCTTTCTTCAAAGAACAATTTTCTATTTCTGATACTTCATAAAATAATTTTTCAATGGCAGTTGATAAATGAACAGTTCAAAGCTTGGATCTCTTCTCTGGAGGCTAGCCATGGATCAGAGGCAATCATTTGTAGGGTAAGAATCAACCTGCACTGGTAGAAGGCCCCCTGATTATCTGAAGGTGTCAGAAGGTGTATGTAATTCATTATGTAGGCATAGCCAAGATAAAACAAAAAAGAAAACAAACAAAAACCCGACCAAAGTTGGCCAAACTTTCCAACTAATTATATAAAACAGTAACGTCTTTGTCAACTGACAATAACTCTTTTCCTTTTAATGCTGCTAGGCAAAATTGAGGAAATCCTTGGTAATTTTGCAGGTAAGGGAAAGAAAACCCAATTTTTCAGACAGAGGGCACACTACTCCTAAAAACAGCAGAGATCAGCAAAAAAAGGAGGAAAGTTTATGACTGTAAGCACAGAAAACACAGGATAGCTAAGGTCCGATGATTTAAGGGCAGGCTGTCAGAAAAACATGTCAACCAACCAGTCTTGGTTGCTGCTAACTGCTAAATGTGCTCTGTAATTAGAAGTAATTTCAAGTCATTGTGAGTAATAATCAACTGTATTTCAATCAGGCTTCTACTAGTGCTGTATTATAAAATATCTAAAAGCCAGATTTAAGATAGAATTCTATTACTAATAGCAAATGGGAGCAAATACTGTATACAAAGTTTTCTGAGGAACATAAAATTGGTACTAAGGATTCAATAAAGCCTGCTTGACTCAGATTTTGCAAAGTAGATTTGTGCTAAGGGAAGTATGAAGACTGTCAGAGAAACAAGAGCCCCTGAAACAGGTCTGCAATAACTGTGAAAGCTATTAGGAGGAAGCCACAAAATATGCTATTACCACATTATATAGTAACATTTTGTGTGTGTGTGTGTGTGGTGCTGGGGATCCAACTCAGTCTTGCGCATGCTAAGCATGCACTATACCACTGAGTTATAACTCCAGCCTATGCAATCTATTTTTTTCAATAATCCAAAGGAGAAAAAAATTCCAGTCATCAAGTCCTGGACACAAAGATCTTTAATTATATGACAGAGATTTCAAAGAGCGTTCTTGACCTGTCTGGATAACAGTTTGAAAAAGTGTCCACAGTTTAAGTACTAACTGACTATAAAATGGAAATCTGGAGAAAAGACTGAGAAGTAGAAATACTACAGTATGAAGAAATAAACAAAACGCACAAATAGCTAGTTTCAAGCAAATGGTACTTAGGGAGTATATGAGGGAAATGCCACTCCTAAGGCAGTCTCTGCCTGCATCCTCTGCTGGGATGTCAATAGTTTCTCAAATTGTAGGCTTTAGAGCTCAGTGGGGTCATTGGAAACAGCACCACAGTGAGTGAGAAGAGGATGTGAAGACAGTTTGACCTTTCCTCTCCAGACCCTAAACAATATGCCACTTTTATTGGGGGTAGAGATACTGGTTGATGACATGGTTAACTTAAGAGCTCACAGCAAAGGAAAGAAGAACAAAGACTAAGGAAATGAAGAAAGAATAATTCAACATTACTATTCAAAGCTATTTTTAATTTGAGTCTGACCACCTGTTCAGCTCTATAAATCTGAACACTGTGTCACAGAATCCAAAACTCCAGAATGGAACACTGGGATGATTTCATCCTAACAAACCAGACATTCCACAACACTAACTGCAGTTCCACACTAGTGAAAGGGTCTGCAGTTAGCCTTTGAATTTTAAGTTCACATTTTAGGATAAACACATAAACTATGTCTATTTTATACTTCTGTTAGTTTTCCCTGGAGGAACAAACACACATTCAACAAAACCCTTTTGTCTTAGTTCTTTGGGTAGAAGTCTTAACATTTGTTATCTGAAGAATGGCAAAATAGGGAAATGTGTTAAATAAAAAGTAGGGTTATCTGCATAGTTGATATTTAGAGGCTACTAACTAAGGCCTTATCTGGAAAAAGCAACAAAAAGTCAAAAAGGTGATTTAAAACCAGACCAAACCAAACCATATCACTAGAGATTAACTGGGTCTTAACCAATTCTGGAATTAACCAGATGCTTTGTCTGCTTGGGCCTGGTGCTTTCTCCTAACTCACTTGAGCTGGAACTGTTCCTCAAACCCCTGCATTCTCTTTCCTGACCCTGAATATATGCTACACTTTAAACTCACACACACATCCTAACATTTAGCCCTAACTAAAATTGCAGCATCCATTTTTTTCCTGTTGTTTTAAGTGACAAAAGGAAAATTCTAAGTATTACTAGTACATAGGGATGGAAAGTGGGATGAATTGATCTTCATTTCCTACCGGGAGCTGGCGAAACCATGTTTCCTTCTCTCCTGACCATCCCCACCCCTGGCCCAGCTGTGAAACGAATCCCGCCTTCCCTGTCCCATTTTCCTACAACCTGAGCAGCTGATAGCTCCAACTCTTGTGTAGGCTGGAGAAGCCTGAAACATAAAGGTAGAACTGGCTAAAAGTGTATGCAGCTGGCTATGTGTAGTGCTTGCTCCTTCAGTGCAGAGCTGGATAAATCTACAGTTACAGGAATTGCATGCGGTGTCTGATTTACAAGCATAAGGAGGCTCCCCTTCATTCTTAGACAGTTAAAACTTGGTTATCCATCACCAAACAAGTAATATAAGAAAATTAGATTGAGAAGATGAAAAAGTGAGGCAGATAAAACTTTCAGAATAATTTATCAATTCCAATAATCAATCATCCAAACAACTTTAGCTCCACAAAGACCTTTGCAAAAATCATATAAGCAGTAACCCCATAAAAAACTAAAAACAAAACACCCCTTATATTTAAGAAACTTAGTGTCATCCCCCAGCTTTGTTAATCTGAAGCTAACCATTTTTTCCCTATATACTATGTTTGAATAACAAATACGTATCTAAATTAGAGTTTCAGTGATATTTTTTAAAACTTAAAAATTGTGGGGTACTCTTTATATCCATACAAGGAAATCATTTTTTAGCCTCTGCAGGATGTAATAGTATTTTTAATTATATAGGACATTTTAGAAAAACTCAAAATATTTTTGAAATAGTAAAGTCTCTGATATCCCTGGGAGGTAGGTGAATATTTATACCCAATTGTCTCATGGGTAATCTGAGGCACAAAGGTTAGTTAAATGATGTCCCCGTAGACACAGTAATTTAGAAATTAACACACACTACTGAACTCTGGCTGCCTGATAAAGTTTTGCTACTAGAAGTCTCTGCTTTCTCCTTTTAGCCACCAGTCTCTTTTCCTCAAATAAAATTTTACTTAAAAGGGGGCACTTATTAGATATACTGTATTGTTTTTGAGGATTGGTTCAATTTAGTCTCCCTTAACATGTCACATTTATATATTTTTCACAAGAAACAGACAAATCTTAAGATACTGAAAATTATAGTATTTTGCTCAAGGGAGAAATCTAAACAACCAGAAAATCAGAGCCAAATGTAGTTATCTGACTAAAAAAATAAAGGCTGAAGAGCTCTCAAGAATGCTATAGATTATATGAGTGTCGTCCTCAGTATCTGAAGTTGTTCTACTTCTATGTTTATTAATGTTATAATAAATATGTAGCTATGATTTCTTTAAAAATCATTTCTCCAGAAGAAAATGATACATTTTTAATGTTGACACAGTTGCAAACTTCCTTCAAAATGTATTCAGATAGCATCACACGGTTCCAACTCTAGCCCTACAAGTTTTGAGTCTTGCCTGCCACAGTGCACTTAATCAATTCAATCCACAAGAGACTCTTGTTGGTCCAATGCTTTCTCCTATATTACGTATGCCAAGTTTGAATGCATGGAGCAGTAGGTTATATCCAGGAATAGTCAACGAATCTGCTAAATTTATTTTACTCGTAAAACTATATATTTATATATATATATATATGTATATATATCTGTTACATCTACAAACAGATATTTAAAGGGGAAAGATAGCATTTTGTGAAAAGACAATTTCCCAATCCACCTATTTAATCAACTTGACTAAAAGCAACAGAATAAACAAGGCAGAAGTTTTGCAAATGTTGAAAGGGGAGTGTTCAGAGAGGATGCAATGATACAGCAGCCACTAGTTTTATCTGTAAGTCTATACGTATCTTTCAATATAGCCATATACACATAAAGAAAAGGAAGAACATTACAGCATGACGTGACATTGGCAAGTTTGACATTCTTCCTCCTGAATCCCCCTGACTTATCAGTCTGCACTTTAGGAGATCTGAGAACACTTTCGAAAGAGGGGAAAAAAATAAAGGAAAAAAAAAAAAAGGCACTTAACAAAGACAAAGGCCTGAATTGAGCATGTTTTAGAGGAGTAATATAAGCATTTATCAGAGCTAAGAAATTATTTACAAAGAGTTAAACTTTTCCCTTAAAATTTTATAAAATAAAATTGCATAACATGTTTGTGATCAGTCATTTATCTACTACTGCACTTTTCTTCTGCTTCATTTTTACAAAACTGAAAGCACCCCACACAAAGCAAAAACAACAAAAAAACAATCATACATGCAAAATAGAAAGTAAAAGTGCCCCTTCTGAGAACATTAGGTCAGCAGAAATCATAGTGCTGAAGCACAGGGAAAGTTCTCAAGTTTGGCCTGATTATAAGATTTTTCTCATTCTTCTATTTTCAACTTGAAAAACAACAAAAGCCAACAAATGAAGCAAGCAAATTCAAAACAAAATGATAAAAACAATATAGGGACCAGTGTGCTTTTTTATGGTACACTCCTAAAATAAAGTATCCTAATTCTACACATGGGTCAAATTATATGACAAAACTCCTAGAAATAAAGAAGTGTAAATTAAAGTCATCCAAATACAAGTTCATTTTACAAAGGTAGCAGCAAATATGATAGATAACTGGAGTTTGAGAGGTGATCCCAAAGGACACAGAGTTCTCAATATCAATGGCAGTTTGAATAACAGTAGAATTTTCATTTCAGAAAATGTCTTAAACCAAGTAGAGGTGGAAAGGAGTATGGGAGAAGGCAACCAGAGGAGAGAGACTAGAGGTGCCTGCCCTTTCCATCCCTGGGTAGTAAACAATTTAGATCTGCTTTGGGAAACAAATATCCTGGGTTAAAAATCAGTTCCAATAAGTTGTTTTCAAACAGGTGTCAAACCCACAGTATTAAAAAACTTTTCTGTGCCCAGTTCTTCCCCTTATGTCGGAAATCCAATAAACCCGATTCAGTGTCTATGATACAAAATAATGTAATTTGGGCTAACAACATCCATCAAAGGGGTGGTGGGCATACAACAATTTACTAGCACAATCCTCTTGATTTCTTTAAGATATCAGGATTTTGTGGCTACAGATCAACCTCACTTCTTTTCCCAAAACCTTTTCTTCAGGATGTTTTAAAATCATGATTTCTAAACCTCTGATATCAGAAGCATATGAGAAAAAATTATAATTAACTTATAATGGAAATTATTGCTTGCATTTACTTTGGAGGCTCTGAATGAGCTTGACACTTTGCTCCCAAACAGTCTCCAGCTAAGGCCCAGCACTGCTATCTCTGAGGACAGCTCTGCTGACCGTTATTGCTTGTGAATACTGAGGATTACCTAGTATGTACAGTAACAGCTTATATATCAGTGAAGGCAATTTCAAACATAAGACAGTTGGAAACAAACAGCTTAATCTTCCTGAATCAAGAATCCCGCTGAGTGGGATATAATTAAGTGTGCTGATTACTTTTGCATGTGGATGTTGCTAATGCTCTTTAGAAATACACATTGTTCTATAGATAACCTTTCCAATCATTCACCATTTTAAAAAATAACATAATTTGATTTTAAGTGCAAAAATACAGTATGAGTCACAAGTCTCTGTTAAAAAATAACCAATTTATATGTTTGTTTTTTAGTAATAAAAACTGTAAAGACAGGTGACCATGAAGCTTGGACACCATTTTCAATGTTAGGATCTAGAAAAGAAATGTTTGTATTTACATGCAGAAATCTCTGATCATACTTTATGGAGAAAGACAAGGATTTTGACCCATTTGTACAACATAAAAGAGGGGTCTTGATTGAAACCAATAAAAATTGATCAGTAAAATGGGGAAGGGGGTTGCTGAGGTGGAGATCTGATATAGTTGTCAAGGATTCAAGACTGAAGAGAATAGAACATAATCTCTATATCATATTCTCAGAGCTAAGGGCCTTCAGGTATTTGACTGGGTAGCATAAAATGACACAGGAGAGAATTAATCCTGATGTTTTCTAATGAAGGCAGAGTCCTCAAGGATCTTCATATAGCATGATTCAGAATTGGTGGATTTAAGAAATTACAATTATTATTCTTTGACTTATACCAGCAATTCATAAGAAGATACATGTGTATATGTGCACACACATACACATGTGAACGCCATATACAGCTATTGGCAGGAAGGCAAGGTTAATATACTCTCTAACTTCTTTCCTGGCAGACAAAGTAAAGTAAAGCTCCCTTTTGGAAGGAAAACTCATCACCGTACCCAGGAATATGAGCAAAGGCAAAAGCAAGAGGTCTGTTACAATGGAATAATCATGAGTCTAGTAAGCTTCCCTAATTAAAAAATCAAATAAATCTTAATCAAACTTACTGAATTCAAATCAAACCTCTTTATAACATCCCAGTATCCCTCCAAAATATCTACCAGGATTCATCCACATTTGTTTTATTGGTAAACTAAATTCTGAAGAGGTGAAATATTATATCAATGATTCCTTTGAAATAATCATTTCTCCTTACTGTAACAAGTTCTCGGAACTAAAGTTTTCAGTTATTTATTAACCCTTTTGCTATAAAACAAGCCAATGTGACTTTGAAGTCAAAATATAGGCATGTAGATCTGAACAGATCTGTGATTATTTATAGTCCTGTAGGCTATTTGGGACTTCTGTTTACTAAAGGAAAAAAAAGGGCCTCATTAATACTCTTATTTGAATAAGCTTACTGGTACAGGGTAATGGAAATATGGAAGAAAGCTTGCTATCACCAATCTAGTGCTGATTTTTTGGTTAGTCTGCCATAAACTGACCAAGGTTACACCATGCAGAGCTTAACCATTCTTGGGTATAGTTTGAAAATACTTATAAGTTTAAAACTCAAGAGATAACAGAATGATGAAGAGGCAAAATAAAATGTATGCAAAGAGAACTATAAATGGTTCCCTTCACATCCTTTGTTAGCTATGCTATTTGCTTAGTTAAAGAAGCTATAATAACTAAGTAGTCTTCTTTGTAGGCTTACTTGCTATCAACACTGAGAAATATCAGTAAAGCTTTAAAACTCTAAATGCTTGAAACAATTTCACAACATTGGATAAAGCGAGTTAAACCACATTGTGATTGTTATAAAAAAGATACTCCCTTGTACATAATGAGCCTAATGCAATTCCTCTCCCTAAAAATTAAAAAACCAAACAACTATATATGTGCTATTTGGATGACCAGTGAGAAAACACAGGTAGTACTCACTGCCACCTGTTTGTGTCAACAGCCAACAATCACCTGAAGAACCCCTAGCTGAAGGAAGAGAGAGGGAAGTTGTGAGGTGAACTTGGGGGAATTTACAGTTTTTGTTGGTAGGGCCTGCAAGGGTGAATGAAGATGAGGAAAGCAGCAGCCCTATAATAAAGATTTCCATTACTCAAGTGAAACTGAGTCACATTTTAACATCAAGACTAGAAATAAAAATGAACCAGTCAAAACTAGATACATAAATCACCTGAAGAAAAGAGTTAAGTACCTACTTCTGAGTGGAAGATGAAATTGACCCTTTCACAAAAAAGGGGACATGTAGGTTTTTGTCTGTTAAGAGCAACAGGCTCAATTTCTTGACTTTTAAAAATCTAAATGATTTAGTAATATACATAACTGTGCTAAAATAACTTTCCTGAAGCATCTTCAGTCCACTGATTTACACGGGGAGTTGCTACATACTGGAGAAGATTCAAGTTTGCTCAGGATGTTTGAGGGTACAGTATTTCTTCAGCTAGTGTTTATATCAGACATAGGGTCACCTAATTATTTTGTTGCAAATTTGCTAAATGTCCACTTAAACAGGCATGATTATTACTCCTGACAAACTAGCCTAATTCCAGATCTATTGCTTTTATTATTCAATTATGTCTACAAGTGTTCAGAGCCAACCCCCAGGATGGATGGTGTTTACCCAAATCCTCTCAACTTCCTCCTTCCTCCCCCAGGGGAAAATAATTTGTACTTCTGTGGGTTTGACAGCTGAGTCTCTTTCAAGTCAGGTAACATGGTAACTTTGTCTTTCTTTAGCAGAGACCAAAGGTCACTAACTTTGCACAAAAGCATTTCTTCCTCCTGCACCTGGCTTTGCTCAAGTAATGTTTTCTTTCCTTTTCCTCCTCACCACAGTGCTTGGGACGAGAATGTAAACATCGACAGAAACAGCAGCCCTGTGACCACATAAGGACTTTCCCATCAGGTAGATCCCGTCAGCCAGCTACACGTCTCATCTCTCTGCTTGCTGAGAAGTCACTGAGATTTCCGTGGTAACTTAGTGTCCCCTTTACTTTGGCCTCCATCTGAGAAAAAGAGATGTTAAACTGGTATAGTTTGGCATGTTGTAAAAAGCAAATAAGAGAAACAGAACAAAAAAGACTTTAAAATTTTTATGTGGATGACCTCTCTCAAAAGATAACCTTTAATATTTCACATGGTGTAAAGCACTATAGTGGCTGCTTATGTCCGATGCTGGGAGGATTATAAAGGAATGAGAATATTCCCACCTTCTACCACATCTTTTGATCCCTTTGAGAAAATTTTTAGTTGGAGACAGACACAATACCTTTGTTTATTTATTTTTATGTGGTGCTGAGGATCAAACCCAGTGCTTCACATGTGCTAGGTAAGCGCTCTACCACTGAGCCACAACCCCAACCCCAATGACACAGTATTTGATAATTAATTCCCACTATGTAAACGAATGCAGCACATTGGTAGTGAAAAATTCAGCTGTATTTCTGTTTTGGTCCTAACCTAGCAAAAGTCTAGGTTACTGGGAACCTAGTCTGCTACTGGGAACAATGGTTTCTATTTCTACATTCTATTGTTTTACTGTTTATGGGGAAAATGTTGATTATTTAAATCTTAGGTAAATTACCTACAAATGCTGGGAGAGGATAGAAAAAGGGGATACCTGGGCAAGAGTAGGACCCAATGACCCGGAGAGCCAACGGAATATAGAGAAAGTCTCTAACAGGTTAAAGCCTTAGGCAAGGAAAACGAAGGCCCCAAGACAACCCAGGCCTGAGAGAAAAAGACAGGGGAAGGAAAGCTTTACTTCAGGGAAGAGGCATGAATGTTAGAAACACACAGGTGAAAAGGAACAAATTATTACAGCACAATAACAGAATCTTAAGGCTGGAAGAGGCCATAAATGTTACATGGCCAGGCCCACTCATGTGATATCTACATTACTTTGGAAAAACAAAAAACCAAAAAAATTGCCTCTCTTGAAGAAAAGCTGTATCAATGAAATACATATCTATTTCAAAAGCTGTTATTAATAGAATACTATTAAAATGACTTTGGTGATAACACCTAAGTTTTTCTCATTTATAATAGGATATATTTACATTTGTAGAGAGAAATGGTTTGATCTGTGGTATAATTAAATTCATAAAATGGTACAGCAGTTTAATAAATGACATTTTGCCCAAAGAAATTTTAAACTGAGCAAAATAAAATACTCAGATTTAACTGGACTGAATTTTTTGGTTTTCCTCCTGTAATGAGGATTGAACCCAAGACCTCACTCCACATGCTAGGAAAGCACTCTACCACTGAGCTATATCCCCAGCCCTTTTTGTTTCATTTTGAGATAGGGTCTTGCTAAGTTGCACTGACAGGCCTTAAACTTGCAATCCACCTGCCTCAGCGTCCTAGTAGCTAGAATCATAGGAGTATGTCACTGAACCAGGCTTGGGCTGTGAAATTCTTTACCTGGCCTATCTCCTGTTTTTGTAAATAAAGTTTTGTTGGAACCCTGTCAAACTTGTTTGTTTACATATTGACTATGGTTGTTTTTGTCCTGTAATGGTAAGGTTGAGTAGTGGCAACAGACAACATATGCCTACAAAGTCCTTTACAGAAAAAACTTACTGATCTATTGTTTCAAACAAGAGAATTAACATTAACTGGGTTCTTACTACGTACCAAGTACCATGCTAGAAGCTTTAATCAGTTATTTTTATTAGAGTCCTATAAGAAGTCTATTTAAAACATCTTTTTGTCCTCAATTTATAAGCAAGAGAAATGATGGTCAAATAAGAATCCTGCTACAATTGGCGGTTCTGGAATTAAAAACCCAAGGCTGATCCTTTTTTTTTTTTTTTTTTGATGGTGCTGGGGATTGAACCAAAGGTCTTGTGCAAACACTCTACCAACTGAGCTATATTCCCAGCCCACTCAAGTCTGATTCCCAAGTTCAATTTTTTTATGGTAAAAAGTGTTTTTATATGAAAAATTTTAAACTTTTTAACTTTAATTATTTGGAAGATATGGATAGTCATATCTCCCTTCTGGTTCTGGAATGGTGGTATTGAGCAGACAACAAGATGATTCACATAAGAGCTGAATACTGAGGTCTTCTTGAGTCACAAAAATCCAGTTTGTATAATTCCTCACAGATGGTCATACTCATGCCAATCTGCCCCAGGAGCAGGCAGATGGTCCCCATCTGAATCATGACACTAAGCAAATGTCCACAGTCAGGGAGGATCCAGTTCAGTCACAGAGCAATCATCCTTATGAATGTAAGCCTAATCAAGTTCGGCAAGATCAGGAGTGCTGATATTTGTTACTACTTTGTATTGCCCATTTTGTACAACTGGATGAGCCTGGTCTTATTTATTTATTAATATTTATTAGGTACTGTGGCTTGAATCCAGGGGTGGTTCACCACTGAGCTAAACCCCCAGTCCTTTTTAAAAAATTTTATTTTGAAACAGGGTCTAAGTTGCCGAAGCCAACCTCAAACTTGTGATCCTCCTGCCTCAGTCTCCTATTTCGTTGGGATTATAGATTATAGATTGTGATCAGTTATTTTTTATTTTTAACTGATATACAAAACCACAAAAGATGTACACATTAATGGGATAGCATGGAAGGTTTCATACATATATTCAGTGTAATGCTCAAATCTGGTTTAACTTTTTTTAAAATAAATTTTTGATAGTGAAAACCCTCAAAATTCTTTCTTCTAGATTTTTGAAATATACAGCACCAAACTGTCAATAGTACATCAGAGCTCCTTCCATCTGCCTTTGGTCTTTGTTTTTTTTTTTTTTTAATCATATATTCTTTAGTTGTAGGTGGACACAAACCTTTATTTAGTTTTTAATGCGGTGCTGAGGATCGAACCCAGTGCCTCACGTGTGCTAGGTGAGCGCTTTTCCTCTGAGCCACAACCCCAGCCCCTGCCTTTGGTCTTTTAGAGGATTAATGGCAATTTATTGCCTCAAGGTTGTTATGTAGCTCCCATTTCTGCACTGTGGTCAATGGTAAACTGGTTCAAAGATCACTTTTAACGCAGTTGTTAAAAAGAATAGCGAGGTTCTTCTCAATTTCCAAAGTTAAAGAAGGTGGATAAATAGTTATTTCTCTTCAGAAGATCCTAAAAATGGCCTCCAGAATTGTATTTTAGGTGTCCACTGAGATCACCTAGTGGTATGAGCAAGAATCTGGGCCTGGTGACACATGCCTGTAATCCCAGTGGCTCAGAAGGCTGAGGCAGGAGGATTCCAAGTTCAAGGCCAGCCTCAGCAATTTAGTGAGGCCCTGAAAAAACTTAGGGGGGGCTTATTTCAAAATAAAAACAGGCTGGGAATATGTTTCAGTGGTTGAATGCCCCTGGGTTCAATCCCTGGTACCAAAACAAAACAACATCCCCCACCCCCAAACAAAACAAAACAAAACCAACAACAAAGAATCTGGAGGCCAATGTTTTATAAACAGGGCCAATATCCAACATCGGATTTCAGAGTGGGCTAGCAGGGCAGCAAGCAAGTATATAACGCATAGCATGAACCACATTAATTTAATCAATGCTAAGATGCAGGAAAGTCTAATGGTTAAGAAGAATACAACCTGGATGAGAGTGTAGCTCAGTGGTAGAGTGTGTGATTTGTATGTATGAGGTGCTGGGTTCAATCTTTAACACTATTTAAAAAAAAAAAAAAAAAAAGAACATAGGCTTTCTGGATTTGTATCTCAGACCACTTACTGGTGTGTTACCTTGGGTAAATTGCTTATCTCTGATTATTTTCTGATCTGTAAAATGGGGATCATTATTTATCATTCATGAGCTTGTTCTGAAGATTAAATAACTAATCGCATTAAACAGACACAAGACTAAATGGCATTTAGTGAGCTTTTGACAAATATAAACTACTATAATTTTGCAATGACTTCTGTTAACTATTTTTAAGAATCTTCTTAGCTATCATTCCCATATAATAAATACTTTCAAAAAGGCTCTTTTCATAACAAAAGATCTCATTTACCTATTTTCTTTCTTTTAAAGTGAGTTTGTTGCCAATGAGCAGGTATTAAATTTTTTCCAACTTTTATCATTCCATTTACATTGTTTTCAGAAAAGTATAATCTGTATCTATAAACCTATATAAATAATAGAGAGATGAAGAAATAGGTCATTTTCTTACCATTAAATGTTTGCTGTAAATGTGTAGGCAGAGGTGAATGGGAAAGTGTTGCTGTATGCTGAGCTCCTGGCTGTAAACCCTTTAGTAAATCTGAGAAGAAAACAGAATTTGTCAGTGATCTTTCAACAAAGATTTAAGCTTTCTTAAAATCAAACCTAAAAATAGTTCAATTTATCTAATGTCATCATAGCCCCGAATTCAAAGGCCTTCTAAAACTAGAATATATACATTTTTTAAAAGTTTACATATGTAAATGTAGATAAGTATATGCAAAGAACCCAACAAATTTGACTTCCTTTTATAATTTCACTTAGAAGTGCAGTACAGAAGGTTCATTAGTACATTCTAAAACTGTAAATAAATTCCCAGAGTCCAGTAAGTTGACTTCTAGATGAAATCAACTATACTTTTTTTTTAAAAAACCTGTATTCTCCCAGAATTCCAACTGGACTGCTCTTAGTCAGAATCAATGACTGAGGCTCCCTGTTCTCTCACACTAGACAGCCAAGGAAAAGAAAGGCCCCACTTACTCTGAGTGAGGCTATGGTGGAAAGCGGCTGAGGTAGATCCTGAGGTGGCTGTCACTCCAGCTGTGTCCGTTCCAAAGCCAAGTAGCTCCAAGGGAAACTGGAAGGGCATGGTCACTGGAACAAGGCCACCCAGCATCCCAAAAGGAGTCACATTTTGATTTGTTACAGACAAAGGTGATGTCATGAGAGTCAGAGGTGAGGCATTAGCCAATAATGATGCTCCTGCTGTGGACTGTGCAGAAACCAGGGGTCAAAATAGATAACAGAGCAGTCAACCTAAATTGATTTATTGTATTTAATATCCTCATGGATGCAAGACTGTGTCTTGTTCTAATAAACTCTGTGAGAGAAAATAAGACTGAGGTGAAAATTACATTTTAAAGAGCTACCAATATTGATTTTGAAAATCTGCAAATTACATTTAGAATTTCTTTACAGAAATTCAGCTATTCACCATTAGACCCCCTCTTAACTGGTCAACATGATTCACTCTCCTAATCTAACTTCTACCCGTACATTTCCACTTCTTCACTTTTGCTCCAGGCCTACAGACATGAATCAGTATAGAAATAATTCCATGCAATTTCATATGGTTCAATCCTTAACACTACTAAAAAAACTCATCTTCTGTCTTGTCACCATCTCTCCTGGCACAATCTGTGCAACCGCTGCTCTTGCCAGCCCCTAATCTATAGTCTTGACTTCCACGACAACACCTATAAAGAGATGAAGTCACCTGGATATTCTTCCTCATCTTTAGCCTTACCTGCCCTTCCCCATGGGTAACTGACAACCACCTGGCTTGTGCCACAAATCCCACCTTGCAGAGCTTTCTTATAGAAATCTCCAGTATCACATTTTTTTCCATGTTTCCTCTGCTTCTCATATACAGACCTCTAATTCATATTTACAGTCACAGTTATTCTTGACTCTTCTCCAACTCCTAGTAACAACCTAAATTATTTGTCTTCCTTTTATTATTAAACTTGCTGAACTCATAGCTTTCTTTTCCACATCTAGTTTCTCCTTACCCTCTGAAAGCTGATGTCCACATCACTACTTTATTTAAGACTCCCTAAGGTAAAAGGTAAACTAGTGTTTTCATGCTCCTCCACCTGATCTTTGAGGTGCTGTTTGTGAATAAAGGCATTTAGATCAGAAATATGCTAACACTGATGAGCTTTCATTGGAAAACTACATAAATATATCCCTTAAGCTAATTTAATTCTTTCAGGAATTTTGTATGCTGCAATTAAATGATTTTTCCCATTTTGACTTTTTTTCTTTTCTACATGTAATTATCAACAAATATTTGATACTATCAAGTTTGTGCCACTGAGTTTTCTTTTGCAGCCTTATTTTACAAAATATATACAGTTAAAAATACAAAATATATTCAGTTAAAAACTTTATAGTTATAAATGAGGTCAAGAAAATGGAATTCTTTAAATTTTTTTAGTCAATAATAAATGTGAGCTATTATCAGTTTTATTTTGGTTGTTATTTCTACCCCAAACCCCATTCTAATAAAAAGTGGTGGTATTATTACTTAGTCAACTATAAGGAAAATATACACAATTTTTATGTATGTGTATGGAACACTACATGGATTTGTACGCTTAAAGAGTTCATGCCACTGCTGGACAAAACGTGAAGAATGTTCTTTAGAAGTCTTTTACTTTGGTTATTGCACTTGTTCTTTTATTTCCTCCCCTTCTCTCATCTCCTTTGCTATTGTTGACATTTGTGGCCTCTTGTTTCAACTCTAATCCTGTGTATATGCCAGTTTGGTGAAAGGTCACACTGGTGCATCTGAAACTCACTGACCTGATGTGTCCCGAACTGGAATCTCCTTCTCCAGTCAGCCCCACCTCCTGCTAGCTGGAAAGTCTGCTCCTTTCTAGCCACTGAGGCTGGGAACCTTATTTTTCAAGCCTCATAAAATGAAGGATGAGATAAGCTCATAGTCAACAAACCCATTCCTTCTTTTTTTACCAGAACCACTTCTTATTTTAGTACCCATCTTCATCAGTTTACACTTGGACTTGACAGCTTTTTAAATTTGCCAGTTTTTTCCTCTACTGTGCCAACTACGATACAAAGAGTTGCATTTAAGAAAAAAAATTACCAAGTTAGCGTTAATAATGTCTTAAAATGACTAGGACAAAAGCATTTAAAAATTAGCAAGTCGTTTCTTCATTTTAATCATAATTTTATGACAGAAGGCAATGACAAGGATGATATAGAATCTCCAAGGTTGTGTGCTAGACTGGTGACCCCCAGTGAAAAACACTAAATCTAATAAGGAGAACCTTTTACATTTTTTTCTGGGGGAGTCTAATTGAAGCACTAAAATGGATGGAAAATATAAATTAGGGCAAGTTCAAAACTAAATAACTTGAGTATTAGCAACAACCAAAAAAAAAAAAAAAAAAAACATGCCATAACTAACACTTTATACTTTCTAAGAATTTCCATACCCACCTTTGTTTATAAATCTAAACTGAAGCACCAGAAAATTTAAATGTTATGTGTGCAATTATCAACTTCTCTAAGATGGAGCTCTTTCAGAAGCGAGGAGTCTGCTGCTAACATTCATCATGAAGTAGGTGAACAGTTCAGACAATGCCCCATAACCAGGGAAAATAAGAAGGGAAACCTTTTTCTTCCTATGGTGGGCATGAAACCTTTTTAAACCATGTGTTCTATTTTGGTATTTTTGTTCTATTTTGCATCTGTCCCCTATTCTCTACAGTACCTACAGTGATCTTTCAAAACATAAATTAGACCACACCACTCCTCTGTTTAAGACTACTCTCCAATAGCATTCCTGCTACATACAGAATAAAATCCAAAAGTATTACTGTGGTGTACCCTGACAAAGTTCTCCATGACACAGTGAGGTCTCTTTCCCCCAACAGTCTAGGCCTTCAACTCAGGCTCTTTTCCCCCCTCAATGTCTTCACACTGCCATTCCTTATCACCTGGACTTTACAAGACTAGCTCCTGTTCATTTGATCCTTAGTTTAAATGCTACCTCCTCAAAGAGGCTACTTCATTCTTTTTTCTGTTAGCACCTCTTTATTGGTGCTTTATTATTTTTTTCCACAGTACTTGTTATGTTTTTAAAAAAACTGTGTTTAACTCATCTTTCTACCTAAAATATATGCTCCATGAGAAAGGAACAGTGTTCCTCAATACCTACAAGAGTGCCTGGCACATAGTACATACTCAATCAACATTTACTGAATGAATAAGTGGGTTTTGGAATTATAAAGTAGCAATGACAGGATTCATAGAAAATCTGTATATTGAAGAGTAAGAAAGAACAGAAAATCTCTGGGTGGAATACTGTTAAACAGAAAGTAGGCAGAGGTAGCAGCTTGAACCCAGAAAGATTTTAACTTATGTCCTTTGTTAAAGGGCCTGTCATTTTCACCGCAAATGAGTAGATAGCTTCAGATGCCTTTCAGACAGGAGGTGAATACTTCACAGGAAGTCTGCTTTCAGGGTAAAGTGCTAGGACAGATCTGGAGGCTATAAGGTAGCTGATGAGACTTCAATGGATGCTATGTCAATAAGAAAACCACCTTAGGTTCACAAAGGGTAGAAATGACCTTTCTTCAGTCAAAGCAGTAAGAGAAAAAAAATTAGATCAGATATGAAGGCAGGGACATTGGATTCTCCACATTATAAAGCCATTTGGGAAACAAAGAAAACAAGGAGGGAGTAGTTACTTGTCAGAAACACAAATTCTGGCATACAGATTTTTTGTTGGCAAACCAATTCTTTGTTAGACAGTATCTGGGTTCTTTGGAAATAAATGATCAAACACAGGAAATTCTTTGGAGAAAATATAGAATGGATAGATTCTGCAGATGACAAAGGATGAAGAAAGTTTTAAACTTATACTCAAAGAAAAAGAAACAAGTAAAAAAATTTTTTCTTTTTTAGCTCTAGGAACCACCCCCCAAAATTTATAAAGCAAGCAAATAAAACCACAATTATGATATTTAGCTCAAGAGAGACAATATTTACATAGTGAAGATTTTTGTGTGTGTGTGTGGTGCTGTTGGATTGAACCCACCAGGGCCCTGTGCATGCGAGGCAAGCACTCTACCAACTGAGCTATCTCCCCAGCCCACGTAGCCAAGAATTTAACCAAAAATTGTAATTTTTCTTTGAGAAGAATAAGGCAGGTACGTATAAGAGAACTATGAGTCTCATTTTTCATAATAAAAAGATAAAAGATACTATAGTACTAAAATTGATAAAATTAAGAGTTTTCTAATTACTACTGTTATTTAGAAATAAATATGTAGAAGAAAAATATTTAAAAGTGATGCTAAAAAGAAGGCTATGGAGTAGGCAAATGTCATTTTTGAGAGAATTCTAGTGATTCCTTTGATCAAATTAAAAGTTAATTTTTTTAAAAAAAGTGTCAACTTTTTAGCAAAGATAACACAAAAGCAATGAGGAATAATTCCCAGTCTTTACCTATAATTAAAAATTTAATTTGCAATCTCTAATAACAATTTTGTTTCATTATTTCTTTTCCTTTCTTTTTCTTTTTCGCAGTGCTGGGGATCATACCAAGGACCTTGCATGATAGCCAACTAAACAACCCCTGACCTACATACAAACCTCATCTTTTTTGAGACTGGATCTCACAATGTTACCCATGTTGACCTTGAACTCCTGGACTCAAGTGATCCTTCTGCCTCAGGCTCCTAAGTAGCTGGAACTATAGGATCCTGCCACCTCCTGCTCAGCTTTAATTTCTTATTTTTGACTTAAGTAAAATTATACAGATAAAACATCAGTTAATACTTCAATTACTGAAGTACCATTCAACTGAATTTGTTCTACATTAGAATTTTGGAAGTCATTGCTAAACCTACTTAAAGGACAGCATGATAACTTGGGTATTAAATAGTATTGAACATAAACCCTTATATAGCAATGAACAGTAAGGTACCTCTACAAATAGCAAAGAGAAATCCTTACGTTACACATTCCTAGTCCACATACATAGGAGGCAGAACAAAGTTTTCAGAGTAATTTCTTAGACAATACAATTTCAAAAAACAATAAAAGTAATGTTTTCAAAGAATATTTTAAAAACCAAAGACCTTGCATATCATGGTACATTTTTTTAAAAGCTGGTTATGAAACAGAATATTATGTCAAACAAACTTTCTTGAAGAGTAAAAATGATATTGAATGCAGCAATGAAATGTATGAATAATAAAGACTTCTCAAAAAACCTAGGATAAATGAAACCAATATTCTTGGACTGAAAAAAAAATCAGCCAGGTCTGAAATTAAGAGGTGTTACTATTTTAGGTGCAAAATTAATGAAAACTAGGCAAACCTGGCCATAGTCTAACAACACTTGCATTTCAAGGAAAAAGAGAAAAATTTTACTAGCATTTAGGCAAACAAAACAAATTACTCGTAAAAGGGAATTTAAAAATCAGTATGGCTTTAAACTTTTCTATAATCTTAACACTAACCAAGGGTCAGGGGAGCAATATTTAAGATTTTGGAATGAAACAGTTAATGACCCAAGAAGTACATATGCACTAAAGTGTGACAGCACAGAAAAATGAATGTGTATGCAAAAGCTACAGTAAAGGGCCATCTGTGCTATCCTTCACACAGATTCCTACGTAAGGCACTCCAGCTAATTTGAGAGGCGAGTTTAAGTTAAAACTCATGACCAGGGAAAGTGTGGCATAAAAGAACTATTGACACCATTTGACAGAAGAGAATTACATATAAATTACTATAAAATTAATGTAAAAATTTGAAACCCGAGAAGATAAATGCTTAAAAAAAGAAAAAATAATACAAATGAATAAATTTGACTAAAAAATTTCAGGAGAAAAGGAAAGAGACAAGTGAATGTATGTTAAATTAATAAGCTACTACTTTTCAACTTTTTAAATAGAGTTCTAAATATGCACTTCAGTTGTAATTGTCAACAAATGTTAAGGTAAACATGATACTTTGCTAGAAAAAAAATCCACATCCTCCCCAAAAAACCTTATTCACATATGTGTCCATCACTGTGCTGTCAACACCAGGAATATTCCATGGCCATGCTGTAATCAGCCTATAATAAACAGTGTATATATATTATAGTAAGCTCATTAAAGTGACTAATTTTATCAGATGAACATCCAGAACATACATACCTGCACACTGGCTGTTACCACTGAAGACCCTGAGGCTGAAGATGGTCTATGTGGAGTAGACAACGGTTTAGTAGCACCCTGTGTTCCACTTCCTGTTCCCCCAGATAGACTAGTTCTATTAGTTCCGCTTGAGTTAAGGTTGCTACCTCTGCTGGCAGGTACATTCATTGCAATTCCACTCAAGCTGTTCTTCCCAATAGTTCCAGTGGATGATGAGTTTGTTAGTTTTGAAGGGGCCTGAAGATTTTTTGTAGATGGAAGGCCTGAAGTGCGATTAGAGGGCAATAAATTCAAGGTGGGAGACTGCCTGCTGATGTTGACTCCACTGGGCTGTTTATGAACTGGGTTGTTACTGGTGGAGTGGCAACTCTGGGCTACTAGTGCACTTGGACTGGAAGAACTTGGGGATACAGTAGGCTTGGGAGTGGGGTTGGACTTAGAAATAAGTTTAGTTGATACTGAAGGCTTAGCTGAAAGAGAGGGCTTGGGTGAAGCAGAAGGCTTGGGTGAGGGCAAGGGTTTGGGAGATGTAGCAGGTTTGGGAGATGCGGCAAGTTTTGGGGATGCAGCCATTGAAAAAGGAGATTTGAAACCCTGCGTGGAAATCTGTGACACCATAGCCTTGGCTAAATAGTTACTAGAGGTAGTGGTGCTCGGTGCTGTCCTAGAAACCAGGGGGTGGGACCCCTGAGAACCATTTCCAGGCGAGGGCGTAGATAAGGGAAGGCGGTATATAAGTGGCTTCTCTGAAGTCTTAATGAGTGGGGATGAACAGGTAAGCTGGGGATTATTACTTAATTTCACCACTGGGTTGGTATGTGATTTACTAATGGTTGCTTGTAATGGAGACACATAGTTCTGTTGGACAGCTGAATGCTGGTGCACCTTTGTTACTTGTGTTAATGAAGAAGCTTCTTGGGCCTCGGATGTTCCCAGAGCATGAGAGGAGGCAGCAACTTGGGCTTGGGAAGAGGAGACATGAGTCTGCGAAGAGGAAGAAGCATGAATCTGGCTTGACCTTTGTAGTCCTTGCTGAAGTAGCCTGGCTGGCAAAGGTTCTAAGGAAACTTTAGGGTTCTGAATTGAAGAACCAGCAATAAGGCCTGAAGAGATGCCAGTATGAGCTAAATCCTGGGGTTTCTTTGGTACTGGCCCAGTGTGGCCAGCAATAAGACTCGATGAATGTGCAGTCTGAGTGGAATCTAGTTTTTTGGGAGTAGTCAGTGGCAGCTTACTCATGATACTTGCTAATTTTTCTTCTCTCAGTCCTGGACGAGGTTTTGTAGTTGGCATGTTTATTCTTGGACCAACTGTAGGGCCCTTATTCCCATTGTTGATGACAGCTAAAGCTTCAGAAACAAGATCTAGTGAAGGTGAGTGGTAAGAAAGGTCTTCGTCTAGGGAGTCGTCGAGGCAGATGGTTTCCTGGGCTGGTGTTGAGCTGGAGCTGGTTGAGGCAACAACAGAAGTGCTGGAGCTTGTGGAAGGACCACTGGCTGAAGCCACCAAGGATGCAGGAGCTTTCTGGTCCTTTTTTGGGCTACACTCCTAACATAAGCAGCATTATATTGGAAAAAGTACAAACAGTTTTAAAAAAATTAGAAAGTCAGTTTTTAAAGGACCAAGAAACTATCATGAGGACTAAAAATAGTTTTTCTATTGGAAAATCTTGACAGACTGCCAAAATAAAAATAATTTTCAAGAGAACAGAGCTCTTGACTGAGCTGTCCTCACTAGACAAAGTATCTAATACACTGCACTGCCATACCCTTGACAGCCATTCTAAGACAAAAGCTAAAAATGAGGTCAAAAGACTAATACATAGCAGTAACTGAGGAGCTCAATTTCTATAGCCCATCTGCATCAGATCTTCAAAACCTACTCCAAATCCATCTGCTTAGAGATTTTTCTCTTTTTATTCTCCAGGAGAAAACTGTGCCTTTATATTAAGACGCTACCCTTCTTTCTCTCTCTCTCTCTCTTTTTTTTTTTTTTTTGTGGTGTTGGGGATTGAACCCAGGGCCTTGTGCATGTGAGGCAAGCACCCTACCAACTGAGCTATATCCCCAGTCCAAGACTATTCTTCTTGTCTAGTAAGGTTTGCAAGAATGCTGATCCTCTGACTCTATACCCTTTGCCACAGCTATTCACAGACAGTATATAAGGAAAATGGCACATCAAATTGACAAAAAAGATGAATTTTCTGAGCATATTTAAATCATGTTTTCTAGTCATCTGGTACAAGTCATTATACGTTGTAATTTTTTCAACATATATTTACTGGGTGTCCACTATGAGCAAGGACCTATGCTAAGAAAATAAGGGTATATGGGGCTGGGGTTGTAGCTCAATGGTAGAACGCTTGCCTAGCATGTGTGAGGCACTGGGTTTGATTCTCAGCACCACATAAAAATAAAGAAAGAAAGAAAGAAAATAAGGGTATATTAGAAGTTATAACTTTGAATGCCCAAGAGGATACTAATTTCTCAAAAAATTAACTTTCTTAATAAAGAGACTAAATTATTACATAAGTCATTTCAAAGTCTCTTCAGTTTCTTAAAAACAAACAAACCCAAACTCCAACCCAGAGTATATAACAAGTATTAGTGATTAATACAACCATAGCACTTACCTTAAGCATAGTGGGGAAAGAATGGAGAGGAAGGTTCTTTCCTATCACCTCCTAAGGTATTACAGTAAGTAAGCTGTTAAGAATGCTGTTATACTCTAATTTTCTTAGCATTTTTTTTCCTAAACTTTTATTCTAAGACCCACAACTAAAAACCTTACTGCTTATCAGAAGTGCTGCACAGATCACAAGTATCTGCTGAGGTGAATGGGTCAAGTACATAAGATAGTCATCTAATTAAGTGATTAGTGAAAATTCCATCATTTTAGCTACTGTTTCTTCTTTTCCCCCTTATAGTGCTGGGGACTGAATCTAGAGCCTCACAAATGCTAGCTCTATCATTGAGCTATCTTCCCAGTTCTAAATTCCCTCATTATAAAGAATATAGAATTGAGGTGGGGGAATGTATCAGAATAAGATTTAATGTGTCACCAGTAAAAATTTACTGTTTTAAATAACTCTTCAAAAATTAATAGTTTTATAAAAACATCAAACCTCATTAACTAACAGAATACTGTGTAGACTTATATTGGCAAGAGAAAATTGTTCAGGATGCCCGAGTCAAAACATACATTATTCCACTTTGAATAAATGAAGGATTGTTAGGATGGATGGAAAGAAATAAGGAAGAAAGATCCATAAGAAAGAGAAGGCAGATGTGGACCAGAAAGTTTTTTGCTTTTGTTTTCCCCTCTTAGAAGAAATTTCTGGTACACTTTTTCTCCTGCAAGTATTTCCTTAAATTACCTTTATAACTAAAAAAGGTATGAAGGGGATGGAGTGTAGCTCAGAGGTAAAGTGCTCGCCTGGCATGTGTGAGGCCCTGGTGCCTTCCCCAGTGCTGCAGGAAAAAAGAAGTCCCTGGGATAGGGGTGCAGTAGGAAAAATCTAAACTAGCAATAGCCTTTTCACTTTGGGAAAATGAAAAAAATAATCTCATCATAGAGAAAGCAAAACCAATTAGCCCTCCCTCCAATAATTTCCTCATATTATTCTAACACATCTTTATTAGAAGTCTGATCAGTTTCTTACCCTGTTATTTCATAATAATATTTCAATTGATGTATCAAAATTTAAACAAACCTTTATATAGGGCATCAAAAGATTAGTATTCTAATAAAAACAAAGGTATGTGTCAAAACAATAAGAAATTAGGTTAAAAATCATTAAACCTTATTAAGCCCCAAAAAGAAATTTTTTTTTTTTTTTTTTTTTTAATATTTATTTCTTAGTATTTGGAGGACACAACATCTTTGTCTGTATGTGGTGCTGAGGATCGAACCCGGGCCGCACGCATGCCAGGCGAGCGCGCTACCACTTGAGCCACATCCCCAGCCCCAAAAAGAAATTTTTAAAAAAATATTTATTTTTCAGCTATAGGTGGACACAACATCTCTATTTTATTTTTATGTGGTTCTGAGGATCGAACTCAGTACCCCACACATCGTAGGTGAGTGCTCTACCTCTGAGCCACAACCCCAGCCCCCCTAATAAGAAATTAAAAGAAAGAGAAGATCAACATTATTAAGGCCACAGGCTGACCTTCTGTCTGGCCATCACCTTACAAATAAACTCATCTATTCAGAGATAAAGTATATAGAGAAAACCCAGGGTACTTAAATTAAAATTAAATTTCAAATGGCTGTGTTTTTTGGGGTGGGGTGGGGCCAGTACTGGGGATTGAAGGCAAGAATACTCGACCACGGAACCATATCCCCAGCCCTATTTTGTATTTTGAGACAGAGTCTTACTGAGTTGCTTAGCACTCATTTTTTAAAAAATATTTTTAATTGTAAATGGATACAATACCTTTATTTTGTTTATTTATGTTTTTTTGTGTGGCGCTGGGGATTGAACCCAGGGCCTCACACATGCTAGGCAAGCACTCTACCACCAAGCCCAACCCCCTAGCGCTTCACTTTTGCTGAGGCTCCTTTGAACTGATCCTCCTGCCTTAGCCTCCCAAGCTTTTTTTGGTGGTGCTGGGGACGGCACCAGGGCCTCTCCAAAGCCCAGCTCATGCTCTCTGGTGAAGTGCCACCTCCACTCATGTTTGACATAATTTATAAGAAGTAAGCTTCTGAGGGCCTAGGATGAAAGCACATTATACCAGAGAATTTTTGCTTTTGCCAGTTGCCCTGGGTTATTACTAACCATATAATTTTAGCTATTCTGTCAGCTTAGAGTTTTCCCAGATTATGCAAGTCATATAAAACAAACTCCTAAACCAGGAAAAATTTTTAAAGACTCCCCCTACCCCCATTCTTCAATCCAAGCTAAGATAGAAAATGTTTCTAATTTCTGTTAATTGTAAATTTTTCTTCTGTTTTTTTTTTTTTCTTTTTTTTTTAAAAACTAAAGATGCTATCTTGAGGGCCCAGCTTTAGGCAGGTCTCATTCTAACTTCTGATCTGTACAAGCCTGAGAAAACCCCATCTGCTATATTCTGAGAAGAAACATAGAAAGAAACCATAGGTGATAGGTAGAAGCTCAGAAGGCAACCAAGATCTCAGGGATAGATGATCACCTCAGCAGCTCCTTATCTGTAGGTTTTTGTTGTTGGTTTGTTTTTGTTTTTTGGTAATGGAAATTAACCCCTGAGGCTTAATCACTGAGCTATACACCTAGCCTGTTTTTTTCTTTTAATAAGGTCTTGCTAAAATGCTGAGACTAGCCTCAAATTTACAATCCTACTGCTTTAGCCTCCTGAATTGCTGGGATTATAGACATATGCCACCATGCCCAGCTGCTCCTCCTTTCCTTTTGACTTCGGAATTTCTCTTATATATTTGCAACCTCATCTTTTTTTTTTTTTTTTTTTTTTTTGTGGGAATCATTGGGCACTCTATCACTGAGCCGCAATCCCAGCTCTTTTTATTTTTTATTTTGAAACAGGGTCTCAGTAAGTTGCTTTGGCTGTTCTAAAATGTGCAATCCTCCTGCCTTAGTCTTCCAAGTTGACTAGATGACAGACATGGGTTACCACATCCAAACTGAAAGATATTTAAAAGCAGTATTTTATTCAGTATTTCTAAGAATTGTTAAGCTTTATGATTTAATTAGTATACGTAAATTCCTACTGCTACATGGTCATCTGTTCTCCCAAATACAAAGGTTATAAGATTTTTACAAAGTTGAAAATAACCAGGCTGGGATTGGAGCTCAGTGGTAGAGTGCTTACTAAGCCCATGTGAGGTTCCTTAGCACCACAAATAAATGACTAAAATAAAGGTATTGGGTTCATCTACAAAAAAAAAAAAAAAAAGAGAGAAAAGAATCAACTAAAGGCTATTTCATTGATGATCTTCATTAAACGCCATACATATTTTACATCTTAAAAATGTATTTCAACATTCAGTAATTATGACTATGATACTCACCTTTACTTTGGGTTTGGGTGCAGGAATCACCTTTTTCTTTGCCCTAAAAGATTAAAACAGAGGCCTTTCAGTAGTAGTTGTATCACTCACTAGGAAAGGAACACATATGAATCTTATAATTAAGCAAATTTCTCCCAATATTTGGAAAGCTCTTTGGATGAAGTAAAAAAATATAAATACTTGGTTTATAAGAATATTCAGCAACACTTTTCCCAATTCAGATTAAACACAAGAAAATGCCAATTAGTAAAATAGGAAATGTAGATGATAAAGTTAAAGAAACAAATATAAATATATAAAATATAAGTTAAAACAGTTTGACAAAGCTGCCTAGGAAACTTACTTCAAAGAACTACTAAGAATTTACAGTTATTTGTAGGAAAACAGCTTCAAGAAACTTTACACTAAAATTGGACTATGATAAGGAACTGTAAATTGCATTTTACTTAAAAAAAACATTTTTCTATAAAGTTATTTTTTAAAATGTAAACATTCAAATAAAAATGTAAAAACAACAACAAAAAAGGGCAGGATAAATACTATGGAACTTGGGAACCTTTGGAACTGCATGAAAAGTTTAAAAATTAAAATAATCTTATGGGTTCCACAGAAGAAAGAACTCAAATGTTTTTGAATAATTAAATGAGTGACAAACTTAAATACTTCATCCCATCTGAGTGTTTTTATTTCATTATGGTAAAATGTCATCAATTAGACTAACACACATCTTGATTTAAACTGTGAATCTTTAGTTTCATAAAGGCAATGGTAATTTTCAAAGTTTTTTTGGTGAAGGCCATGAGAGCAAAAGTCTTCCTTTTTACTTATCTTACAGAATCCTGCTTTCCTGTACAAAATCAAACAAAACACAAAACTAGCAATGATAATGAAGCTATTTTAACCTAGTAAAGGGAAATGGTGGGCACAGTGCAGTTCTAGCTACTCAGAAGGCTGAGGCAGGAGAATTATTTGAGCTCAGGAGTTCCAGGACAGCCTGGAACTCAACTCAAAACAAATACAAAAACAAAAACAGAGGGAGAGAACCTACATAAACAACTTTAGAATTAAAACATGAGTCAGTTTGTACTTGTTTTTTTGTTTAGGGGTGTTCCTTTTTTTTTTGGTTCTTTTTAGTTACACATGACAGTAGAATCTATTTTGATATATTTATACAAGCATGGAGTATATCTTATTCTAATTGGGAGTCCAGTCTTGTGGATGTACACGACAGAGAGATTCACTGTGATGTGATTATATATGTACATAGGAAAGTTATGTCAGATTCATTCCACTGCCTTTCCTATTCCTATACCCACCCCTTCCCTTCATTCCCATTTGTCTAATCAACTTAACTTCTATCCTTTCCCTCCCCAACCACCTTTGTGTGTGTTAAGATCCACATATTTCTTTTTTGGGGGATTTGCAAATTTCACTTAGTATGATAGTCTCCAGATCCATCAATTTACATCTTCCTTATGGTTGAATAACATTCCACTGATACGCCACAATTTCTTTATGGATTCATCTGTTAGTGGGCATCTACATTGCTTCCATAGCTTAGCTATTATGAATTGTGTTCCTAGAAACATTGATGTGGCTGTGTCACTGTAGTGTATGCTGATTTTAAATCCTTTGGATATATGCCAAGGAGTGAGATAACTGGATCAAATGGTGGTTCCATTTCTAAGTTTTTTAAAATATATATATTTTTAGTTATAGGTGGAACATTTTTTTTATTATTTTTTATATCTTTATTTTATTTTTATGTGGTGCTGAGGATTGAACCCAGTGGCTCACACATGCTAGGTAAGTGTTCTACCTCTGAGCCACAACTCCATCCTGACCACAATATTTTATTTTTATGTGGTGCTGAGGATTGAACCCAGTCCCTCATGCATGGTAGGCAAGCGTTCTACCTCTGAGCCACAATCCCAGCCCCATCTCTAAGTTTTTTGAGGAATCTCCACACTGTTTTATAGAGTGCTTGCATAAATTTGCACTCCCACCAATGTATCAGTATTCTCTTTTCTCCACATCCTCACCAACATTTATTGTCACTTGTATTCTTTTTAAGATTTTTTTTAACATTTATTTTTTTAATTATAGGTGGACACAATAACTTCATTGTATTTTATGTGGTGCTGAGGATCAAACCCAGTGCCAGGCAAGCGCTCCGCCTCTGAGCCCTAGCCCCAACCCTGTCACTTGTATTCTTGATAATTGTCATTCCGGTTGGTGTGAGCTGAAATATCACTGTAGTTTTAATTTGCATTTCTCTGATTGCTGGAGATATTGAACATTTTTTCATATACTTGTGGACTGTATTTTTTTGAGAAGTATCTGTTTAATTCCTTTGTCCATTTATTGATTGGGTTATTTGGAGTTTTTTTGGTGCTAAGCTTTTTTAGTTCTTTGTGTATCTTGGAAATTAATATCTTATTGGAGGTGTGTTTGGCAAAGATTTTCTCCCATTCTCTAGGTTCTTTTTTCATGCTCTTGATTGTTTCCTTTGCTGTGAAACAGCTTTTTAGTTTGATACCATCCCATTTATTGATTAAAAAAATTTGTTCTTATTTTAGTTATACATGACACTAGACTCTATTTTGATACATTCCATTTATTGACTTTTGACTGTACATCTTGTGCTTCAGGAGTCTTACTGAGGAAGTTGGTTCCTAAGCTGACATGATGGAATGTTCGTCCTACATTTTCTTCTAGTATGTGCAGAGTTTCTGGTCTAATTCCTAGGTCTTTAATATACTTTGAATTTTGTTCAGGGTGAGAGATAGGGGTTAAATTTCATTCTACTACACATAGATTTCCAGTTTTGCAAGCACTATTTGTTGAAGGGGCTATCTTTTTTCCAATGTATGTTCTTGGTGCCTTTGTCTAGTATGAGATAGCTGTATTTATTTGGGTTTCTCTTTGTTTCTTCTATTCTAGATCATTGGTTTTCATGTCTATTTTGATGACAAAACCATGCCTGTTTTTACCAATACCAGCTCTGTAGTATAATTTAAGGTCTGGTATTGTGATGCCTCCTGTTTTTTGCTTTTCTCACTAAGGATTGCTATGGCTATTCTGAGCCTCTTATTTTTCCAAATTAATTTCATGACCACTTTTTCTACTTTTTAAAATTCTTTTTTGTAGCTGTAGATGGACAGAATTCCTTCATTTTATTTTCTTATTTTATGTGGTGCTGAGGATTGAACCTAGGGCCTCACACATGCTAGGTAAGTGTTCTGTCACTGAGCTATAGCCCCAGCCCTGCTTTTTCTATTTTTATGAAGAACATCATTGAAATTTTATTGGGAATTGCATTAAATTTGAATAATGCCTTTGGTAGTATGGCCATTTTTCCAATATTAATTCTGCCTGTCCAAGAACACAGGAGACCTTTCCATCTTCTAAGGTTTTCTTTTATTTATTTCTTTTCTTTTTTTTTTTTTAATTTTTTATTGTGGGTTGTTCAAAACATTACAAGTGTTCTGTATTTTCATTGTAGAAGTCTTTTACCTCTTTTGTCAGATTGGTTCCCAAGTATTTTAATTTTTTTGAGGCTATTTTGAATGGAATAGTTTTCCTAACTTCTCTTTCAGCCGATTCATTATTGGTATATAAGAACACAACTGATTTATCGGTGTTAATTTTGTATCCTGCTACATTGCTGAATTTGTACCTGAATTATAATGTACATGGTTTTAGAACTATAGAGAAACTAAAGGCCATATATATTATCAACACAAATTTATCTCTCTGTGTTTATTTACTCATAGATTTAAGTTCTTGCAACAAAGTACACTGCAATGTATCTCAAAAAACAAAAGCAAGAGGAAAGCTGGGTGACACATGTTTATCGATAATCCCAAATACATGGTAGGCTGAGATGGGAGGGTCACCTGAACCCAGGAGTTCAAGACCAGTCTGGGAACAAAGCTAGAACTCATATCAACATAAACACAAACAAAAAACAACAACAAAACATTCCAAGAATAATAAGAACTTAAAACTACAACAACTCAATACAGATCCCTGATGGTATACAAAGTGTTCTTCCTAAAAACTTTCATCTGTTATAACAATATAAAGGAAAGAATTTTATAATGTTGTTCAAACAATGTCAATCAGACATCTTAGCAGAATATTGAATAGAGTGCTCAATAATTCTTAATAACTTGCTAATTTTAAATTTTAGTAACTCTTTAAGACTACACTTGCAGGCTACAGAAAAGTAGCCTTAATTTGTAGGTACAAAAAATTATGGAGTTGACCAATATTCACCCGAACAGCAACAATAGACAAAAAATGTGCCCTTTTATTGAATGTAAGGAGGATAAGAGATCTTTACTAATCCTTTCACTACGCTGGGGATGTAGCTCAATGGTAGGGCACTTGCCTAGCATGTGCAAGGCCCTGGGTTTGAACCTCCAGCATATGTGTGCTCATACACATCATTTCATTAAGGAAACATCCAGTTTTAAACAGAAAGAAGAACACTAAGAGTAGGTTAATTTTGTAGAATAAAACACTCTTTAGGGTAAAGCAGGGTACTTTTGTATATGGAACTGTCCTGGTAAGCTAGGGGCAGAAGGCCATAGGTTACCTATATAGATGGTTAATAAGAGGTAGAAAAAAAGAACAATAAGACGACAAGATAGAATCCCAGGAACAAACAAAGGGAAACCCTTAAGCTTGTATATTTTCAATATTTTCTATACAAGAATCCCAGGCAGGGCTGGGGATGTGGCTCAAGCGGTAGTGCGCTCGCCTGGCATGCGTGCGGCCCGGGTTCGATCCTCAGCACCACATACCAACAAAGATGTTGTGTCTGCCGAGAACTAAAAAAAAATAAAAATATATTAAAAAAAAAAAAGAATCCCAGGCAGTCTGTGTCACATTCTAGATTCAGGAGGTTTTGAAGAACAGCCTGAGAACTATTTTAATAGACTCTGAGGTCTAAACAGGAAACAGACCAATAATTTATTTTTAAGAAGATGGTGATAAATGGAAATTTATACGATTTAAATAAATTTAAATAAATATGATTTAAATAAATCGTATTTCAACTAGCATTTAATAAATGATACATCTCCTTACTAAAGCTACAAGAATAAAGATAAATCAAGAAATCTGGAGTCTGCATTTACTCACGGAGCAGAAGTAAGATGATTATGTACACTCCGGCTTTCCTTAAAAAGCATTCTGGAAAAATTAAAAGGATACAATTATTATTTTTTTATAGCAGATAATAACATAATTGCTTTATTTTTCTTACAAAATCATTTGACTTACAATAGGTTATCATTTGCATGTTTACCAAATAAAGATACTGGTATTAGTGTGCTCAATTATGGAGTTTTATCACCTCTACTTGTTTAATATTTTTAATAAATGGAGCAATTTGAAATGGTGGGGTAGGTAATATAGCTTATGAAGTTTCATACTCTTAAAACTCTTTAGACTTTAAATAGGGCTATTCTTAAGTTTCTCAAGACACTTCACTATTTTCCAAGACCCTACGGTTGCCTATCTTTTCCTTTGCTCTAATCCCTGTATTTGATAGTTCCCTCCTGAAGTTTATAATAACCATTGTTCTCCCCCGTTTTCTTCCACTAGCAAATTCTGGTACAAAAAAGAAACATGATAATTTAAAAAATCACCTTGATATCCATATCTTTATATGCCCACAGGACTGTTTTGGATTTTAAGGGCTTGAAATACTGAGGTTGAACACATTAAGTTCTTAGCAAAACCAATGTCAGGTGTTACTCTCTTACTTTAATAACAAAGTAAGAGAGTAAATCAGAATTCAGGAGGTCAATCTCTTACCTCGCCTGCATCCAGCCCTTAGGCCACAAGGGCTTCACCTCTGTTTCCATGAAGGATTTAAGATAATCCTCAGCAGACTGGCTTTTATTTGGCTCCAACTCATAGCATCCCAATTTGATCTCGACGAGGTTACATAATAAAGTTCTAAATAGATAAAAATATTATTACATATAAATCTTACTATGAAACAATAGAAAATTTTAAGTTTGAAACAGAATTATCTTTATTGAAAGAACTCCTTGCCAGGCATGGTGGTGCACAGGTTTAATTCCAGCAGCTCGGGAGGCTGAGGCAGGAGGATTGCAAGTTCAAAGCCAACCTCAGTAACCTAGTGAGGCCTTAAACAACTTAGTGAGACTCTGTCTCTAAGTAAAATATAAAAAAATGGCTGGGGATGTGGCTCAGTGGTTAAGCACCCTTGGGTTCAATCCCTGGTACAAAAAAGAGAGAGAAAAAACTCCTTTAGGCTCACTTGACATAGGTTTGTTTGTTTTTAAACAAGTATCACTCATAAATACAAAAAATGGAAAAGAAAGCAAAATAAATTAACTGATTTGTTCAGGTATTCCTAAACCTTCTTCCTATTCATAGTCCAATGTAAGTCACTTGATGTCCACACCCTATCATTCTCTGTTCCTTCCAAGTAAGTTATGATACAGTCATTCTTGAGTTCTCCACTACTATTTCTGGAGAAAAATTCTTCCAAGGTACTAACAACAGATTTTTTTTTTTTTTTAAAGCACACAGTTGTAACAAGAATATTACCTGAAGAATTCAGATAATAACAAGATGTTTTTTAAAATTTATCATTCATTGCTCTAGTCTAACCCCAAAATGAAACAATTTCCTTTGACAGGTACCAAAGATAGGTAGAAGAGTTGTCTCTGTGGGGTATAGAAATACTGGCAAGAAAGACGGTTGATTTATGTAAGTATATTGAGTACTTCACCTTCTGAATCCAGTGTAACTCATTCCATTCTTAGTTTATGTTATAAAAAGTATCACATAAAAATGAAAGTGGGGCTGGGGCTGTGGCTCAGAGGTAGAACGCCCGCCTACCGTGCATGAGGCACTGGGTTCGATCCTCAGCACCACATAAAAAATAAAATGAAGATATTGTGACCACCTATAGCTAAAAAAATAAATATTTTTAAAAAAAAAAAAGAAAATGAAAGTGATAACAATATAAGGAGGACTGGGGATGTGGCTCAAGCAGTAGCATGCTCGCCTGGCATGCGTGCGGCCCAGGTTCGATCCTCAGCACCACATACAAACAAAGATGTCGTGTCCGCTGAAAACTAAAAAAAATAAAATATTAAAATTCTCTCTATCTTAAAAAAAAAAAAAACATATAAGGATATTAAGGCCAGAGTAATGGTCTCCTAAATATATTTTTTCTACATACTACCCTTTGATTGTTTTCAATCTAGTCTTTAATTTACTACATTTTTCTCATGGTGTTGGGGATTCAACTCAGGGTCTAACACATGCTAGACAAGTGCTCTACCCCCAAGTTACAGTCCCTTTCCCTATTATAGATTCCTTTTATGAGCAACCTTACTTCTCCACTGTATATTTGGTTAAGAGCAAAGACTGGCTAAATTCTACCTAATTGTGTCATCCCAGTGGAATTTCTTTCTTGGTCCTATGACACGCTTCCCTGGTTTCTCATCATCATCTTCCTCAGATCCATTCTTTTCTCGTTCTTCATCTGTTTGCAACCTAAAAATTGAAAAACCTTTTAAGAAGCAAAGTTTTAACCCTACAATATGTCCCATAAACACTTCCAGAATTGCATAATTGAACTTTTACTCAAATAACAGACTAAATAGGGAATCTACCTTTTTACATAATACTTTGAGTAAGCTATGAAGTGCTTGGCAAATGAAAGTATCCAAACTATAATATAAAGGCATACTTATCTTTTAGGTCAGAAAATATTTGTGTCCAGCACCAGCTAGTCTAATTAGTCAGTATATGAAATGTCTGAACAGTTTTAGCTCTTGATTTATTTAAAATATTTTTTTAATTGTAGCTGGACACAATATCTTTATTTTATTTATTTTCATGTGATGCTGAGGATTGAACCCAGGGCCTTGCACATGCTAGGCAAGCACTTATGCTGAGCCATAACCCCAGCCCTTAGCTCTTGATTTGATCACATCCATAAAGTAAATCAACAAAGTCTTTTGCCTTTGACACTAAAGCAGTTGAGGTAGCAACATATCATTTAGAAAATATTCAGTTTATCATTCAGTGGTGTATGTGGATTTGTACTTGATGATGAAGTCCTGTCAAGACCAACCCCTAACAGCTAAAAGTGTTTCTCAAATGGTAAAGACTGTCGAAACAGAAGGGGTACATACTTGGCACACTTAGCTTGACTACGAGCCTGGCAATCCTCCTGGTATTTAAATAGCTGTTCAGGCATAACATTGCTAACAGCCAGTTTCAGTTTTTGCAGAGGTTCTCTTAAACGATCATCCTGAGAAAAAAACATACTGAAAGTTTTTCAAATATCTTAACAAAATTTATTCAATGAACAGATTCTCAAAAGGTGAAATTTATGTTTCAAGTATTGATTACAGATTTGAAATGTTAGCATATCTAAATATGGACATTTCTTCAATAGCACTTGCTTTCATTAATTAACACTGGATATAAAATTAGAATGATAAAATTTCCCAGTTTGCCGAGGAGAGTCCCAGCTTTTACTTGCTGCCCTTGCAAAACTATTAGTAGTATTTCTTTACATTCTTAAAAAGCCCCATGTTGTTGGGTGTGGTGGTACAACACCTATAATCCCAGTGATTCGGGAGGCTAAGGCAGAGGATTATGAGGTTCAAAACCAGCCTCAGCAACTCAGTGATGCCCTAAGCAACTCAGCAAGACCCTGTCTCTAAATGAAATACAAAATGTCCCTGGGTTCAATCCCCAGTACAAAAACAGAACAAAACAAAAAAATGTTTTAAATTATATATACTTTATAATACAAATGATGAAATCTACATTGTACAGATTACTAGACAGTCCCCATTACAATGGGAAAGCACTCCCAAAAGAAGACAGTTCTCTGGAATACTGGAATATATGATCCGCATGATCTTTTTTTTTTTTTTAGTTGTAGATAGACAAAATATATTTATTTATTTTTATGTGGTGCTAAGGATTGAACCCAGTGCCTCACACGTGAGAGGCAGGTGTTCTACCACTGAGCTATAGCCCAGCCCTATCTGCATGATCTTGTTTGAGTAGTTACCAACAGGATGTTGGCATCCTGTTCTCTTGGATATTGTTAGTAATTGTGTCTTATGCTGTAAGCAGAAATGCAAGCTCAAGGCCAAAATAAAGAGGAAACTAGGAGACTCTTATCCATATGTGTTCTGGGTAAAAAGGAAAACAAGTAGGTTTTTAATCTAATAGCTCTAATCAACCAACTTATTATTTTCAATCTTGCAAAATAACATAGGTAACTATTTAAAACATATTTTTATCACTATCATAGGTGCAGAAATATTTTAAGACTTAGTTTTCCTTCAGTAAAACAATAGAATTTTTTGGTTTTTTTAAAAATCTTTTTGCAGTGCTGGGGGATTGAACCCAGGGCTTAATACATGCTAGGCAACTACTCTACTGTGAGCTACATCCACAGCACTAAAACAACTGTTTATAAAAGGTGCTTTTTGGTAGAGATGACTTTTTAGAATACAAATTTATTACTAATAATCATTTTAACTTATCCCATATATATCAATTAATAAATACGAAGCACATGACTATCTGCTATAACAACCCATTTTGTTATAATATCCCATTTTTAAATGTCAACATTCAGTATCATGGTTCCTGGATGATTATTTTTGAAGAATTATGTAGCTGAGACCATTTACATGGAATTAACTGGGATATATTCATACAATAGAACACTATATACAGTGTTCTAATTGCATGCAGTAAAAAATGAATAGATTTCCATTGTATATACACATACATAAATCTGAAGCACATAATGTTGAGTGTTAAACAGTGAGCTGCAGAAGAAAACAGATAGTACACCTTATATGAAGCTCAAAAAATAAAAAACTGAACAATATAATGTTCAGGGATACAAACCATGTGACAGAAAACTTGTTTTCCTAATTCTAATTCCCATTCCCCCCCGCCCCCCCGTCAATCCCTCTGGTACCCATTTCTGCCATTTCAATTATGACAGCAAGCTCCCTCCAACTGTTGATGTTTGAAAAAGCCAGGTAAAGGCACAAAATCTGAGATATTATAATTAAATTCATTCATTAATTTGCTTTGAATTGAGAAAGAATTTATGTCTCTCAATTTACATGTATAAAGAATCCTATGCTTATCAGATCTTGCTTTCTATACACTGACCAGCCTTAGGAAACATTCTCAGAGAGACCTATCAATTATTAAAGAAGTAACTATTCATCAGGGAATCCAAATACCTTCAATATCTTGCAATGATTATTAAATATGTTCAATCTGATATAAAGCAATTAATGTATAAAGACCCTAATTAGAAATATTTCTCATTTTGTAGGTTATAAAACCTCAAAGGCAGATATTATTATTGTTCCTCTTACCTGGACATTGAGGTGTAACTTCTTTAGCCGTTTTACCAGTGTTTCTTTATTGCATGGCACAAATGCTTCAAGATGGGAGTAGACACCACTACGAATAACAGGGCCTAATTCTTGTAGCTGTAACTCAATGCTGATCATAAAAACAACAAACAATATGGAATTTTTTTAGGTGGCAAAGACTGATTGTTGTTCTCAATTTATACTCCCATGATTTCCCAGACAATATTTTTCATAGAATTTACCTCCCTTCCAATGAACAGTAAAACTACAGAAAACAGTCTGTGAGTCTAACTTCAGAGTAAAGTTTATATGACCACAACAAGCTGGCAACATTTTTTTTAAATGTTTTATAGTTGTAGATGGGCAGAATGCCTTTATTTTACTTATTTTTATGTGGTGTTAAGGATTAAACAGAGTGCCTCACACATGTTAGGCAAGTGCTCTGCCATTGAGCTACAGCCCCAGCCCTGGCAATACTTTTTTGATGACAGGCATCAAGTATTTTTGGGTTAACCATAATATCTTCAAAGAGATATTATGTCAGCCCTCCACACTCTGGTAATCACTATAGCAGCCAGTGACAGTTTCATTTAATTCCTAGAATATTTTTTTCTTTAAGGAAGTTGAAAAAAGTAGATATTCAGAAAAAAATACCCTACCCCCAGCTATAGACATGAAATACTTTATCTGTCTTTGTTTCCCTTTGTGGTATTATAAGATACATATTTAATAGTTTGTTCAACTTATTATAATTTTCCAGTTTCTACTTCTACTTAATACATTAGCTAAGAGAGTAGAAGAGGAGAACGAGAAGGAGGAGGAAGAAAAGGAGGAGGAGAAGGATGAGGAGGAGGTACAGGAGCATCAGCAGCAGAAGAAGAAGCAGGAGGACGAGGATGAGGACGAGGAGGAAGTTTGCTGCAATAGTTCTATTCTGGGCAGGACAAACCTACCAATAGCAGAGGTCTCTTTCAAGATGGAAGACATTATTACCTAGCAACTATCACTGAATAAAGATAAGAACAGATAAATTTGAAGACCATGATCAAATTTGAGATCTTGGGGATAGGGCTATGGCTCACTGGTAGAGCGCTCACCTAGCAGGCATGAGACACTGGATTTAATCCTCAGTACCACATAAAAATGAACTATACTGTGTCCACCTACAACTAAAAAATAAATATATATTTTTTTTAAATTGGGGCTCTTGGCAAAAACTATGTCCAAATCATTACATTCTATTATAAGAGAAGATAAAGACAGACTTTGAAGAACTTTTCACAAATGTAAGAGGTATCCAAGGATTAAATTAATAGTTTTTTGGGAAGAAAAGAAACCATATCATATAAAGTATATCCATAGACAAATTGCAATTTCATTTAAAATGAGATGTGAAAAATTATACTCCTTGGAATTGGTAGTAGAAAATTCTTGGTATTGGAAAAGCTAAATAGAAAATTAAAAATGGAAGAAGTTTAAGACCTACAAGAACCAGGGGGTCAAATTAAAGGTTCACATGGTAAACAACCACTATGATCATGAGTTCTATCTATAGACATTTGTTAGATAGCATTATGTGGTCAGATAACATGTGTTTAGATAACATCATGAGATTATGTCCTCACTAAAAGTCTAGACTCTGGATAGAAGGCCTTCTACGATTGTCCTGTTAATGAAAGTTCTTTGAAGCTGAAAATTAAAACAGAAACTCCAAGTACTAAGAGATCCCAGGTAAGGGACCTCTGTATAAAAGTCAGTGGTTTCCAAAGAGGTTAACTAAGATACAAGAAGAGCTGACTCCCAAGAGAAACCCTTTATACTGAGATTCCAGTCACTACTCATCGATGTCTCCTTAAAGGAATATCTAACAAAGAGATGGCAGATAGATTTCATTTTAAGTGTACAAAAGGACTGATGGTATAAACCTAGAGCAATCTGTTAAACAGAATGTTTAGGGTGAATGAGGATCACAGGCAAAGAGTATCATGATTTATCAGCAACTTCTGCTTCAGGTAATAGAGAAGAAAATCAAGTCAGCATGTTGTGTATTTGTAGATTCAGGTCAAATTCAATTATGCAAAAGGAAAAGGGTTCCCCATTCTAACTAACTGATCTCTTTTCCTCCCAGGCATAAGTAAGCAATGGTGAAGCAGAGCCAATATACCTGGACAATTTCATGGGGATTACTACCCTCAAAATCACTGTATGCCTCTCTTAAAGAGCAACTCAGGCTGGGCACAGTGGCATGCATCTGTAATCCCAGCAACTCAGGAGGCTGAGGCATGAGGAACACAAGTTCAAGACTAGCTTCAGAATGCATTAAGTAATAAATTCATAAAAATTTAAAAAAAAGACTAGCTTCAGCAACTTAGTGAGGCCCTAAGTAACTTAATGAGAACTTATCTCAAAATAAAAAAATAAAAGGGGATGGGAATTTAACTTGGTGGTAAAGCACCCCTGGGTTCAATCCCTAGTACCCCCCCAAAAAAAAGAGAGAGAGAGAGAGCACGCGCTCAACTCAGTCCACAGAAGTAAGGCATGTTTGTTTAGGAAAGTGCAAAGAGAGGCCAGAGAGAATAACAGAATAATGTAACTAAAGGGAAATTCAACTCTGAACCTAAGGGCTTAAGGAAATGGAAGCACACCTTCTGTGGAAAAAAAAGTAGGTGGCTCCCCAAAACTCCAAGATTTGTTTCCTGATAGACATGGGAGGACTGAAAATAGAAGCCTAACATTGGAATGTCAACAGTCTGCTTATTTGAGATGTCATGTCCCAAGGATAGTCTCTTGATTCTCTCAGGGGAGAAACACTTGTTCTGTCTCACAGAAGAGTAAAACAAAAAGAACAGTCTCAGTCACAAGAGCTAATCTACTACACTTAGAGCTTTCAGGTGGAAAGAAAAAGAAGAGCTAGTCAGACCCCTGATTATGGAATCTGGGACAGCTCTGATGACTAACAGTAGCACTGTTTATCTGGTGTTTGAAAGGGAGGTAGGTAAAAGGTAGAGACTCAGAAAGAAAGCATTTGCCGGTCTCCAGGCAAACATATCAACTTAGCTAAAATAAAGGACAGAAAAAAGAAACTCCTCTGCCAAATACTAGCAGCACACCAGGTTACATATTTTCTGAGTTTATTTTTAAACAATACAGGATAAAGATATTGCAATTTTTAATTACAAATAGTAATTAGAACTAATCAGTCAATTGATCCTTCTTTAGATCTCACAAGAAACTGTCTACATCATGTATTTATTTAAAAGACAGATTCATAGTATTTCATGTTGTTGTCCTGAATCTTTCCATATGATGCTATAAACCATCAGAGTAAGCATACGTTATCATTACCATTATGATCATCATCATCATTATCACCGAAGTACTCAGGAATGAACCCAGGGGCACTCTACCACCAAGCTACATTCCCAGTCCTTTTTATTTCTTAATTTAAGATAAGCTTGCTAAGTTACAGAGGTTGGCCTGGAACTTGTGATTCTCCGGCCTTAGCTGCCAGAGTGACAGGGATTACAGGTGTGCACTACTATAACGTCATATGTTATTTTCATCCGAGGAGCTAGATTTGCTGCTTTCAACAGATCATTTTGCGCCTACTTCTGCCTGAAGTCAATTATACACTTCATTCTTGTTATCAATGGTTAAAATGTGAGCCAACAGTTTAAAAGCATAGCTTATTTGACCACAATCTCAGAACCTACAGGTTCATAACTATCAAATAATTTTACACTGTAAAATTAGCTAAGTATAAAACCTGATCTAAACATAATCTACGATAGGCATGGTGGCACACACCTATAATATATGCTACTCTGGAGGCTGAGGCAAGAGGATCACAAGTTCCAGGCCAACTTCAGTAACCTGCCCAGACCCTTTCTCAAAATAAAAAATATAAAAGGTAGCTCAGTGGTAGAGTGCCCTAGTTTCAATCTCCAGTACTGCAATCAGTATCAATAATTTATATATCAGCCTATACCTTCCCCCTTCCAATCTGTCACTTTCATGTTACTTCCATCCTATCCTACAACCAGGATTTCTTTATTGACCCACACTTTGCATTTGGCTATAAAATTTTGCATGAATTCTAATTAATTGCAATAGATATCAATGGAATTGTTTTTCTCAAGTCTGAGTAATGAAAATAGGTGGAAAATTAAGCCAATTTGTATAAACACTCTAAGCTATCTCAGAAATAATATTTTCACATAAACTGTCATAAAATACTTTTAAAAGTCCAGGTTAATATTCATCCTGGACAATGGTAACTTGCAGATGAATAATTTTGCTAAGAGACAAATGATAACTGTACATGTTCCAAGACTAAAAGGGAAGGGTTAATGTCTTAGATCAGCCATCATTCAGCATCTGTATCTCACAGACCTAGTGTGTGTGTGTGTGGGGGGGGGATGGGTGGGAGGTGTATCTGTCTCAAAATTTTTTAAAATGTAAATATATTTTAAATTGATATTGGGATTGAACCTAGGAGTGCTTAACTACTGAGCAACATCCCAGTCCTTTTTATTTTTTATTTCGAGACAGATTCTTGCTAAGTTGCTCAGGCTGGCTTCAAACTTATGATCCTCCTGCCTCAGCCTCCCTCCAGCTGTATGCTTATTTATTTTAAGTATTTTTTTTTTTTTAGTTGTAGATGGAAACAATATCTTTATTCATTTATTTATATATGGTTTTATGTGGTGCTGAGATTCAAACTCAGTGCCCCACGCATGCAAGGCAAGTGATCTACCACTGAGCTACAACCCCAGTCCCTCCAGCTATATTTTGAAATGAATAAGTCTAAAGATTTTTTAGTACTAAAAAGAGAAATACTTACTCTAAAAGAATATTATTCATATCCTGTGTAAAGAATTTTTTCCTTCCTTCTTCATCAAAAAGTTTGGCAGCCTAGAGAAACATAAGAAAGACTGTCAATATAACTCATAGTATACAAGAACTCTGAGATGAACTACCTAATGGGGAGGAAAAAAAAAAAGAAAACAAAAGAAAAAGGAACTTCTTAACAGCAGAGTACACAATACCAATAAGTTGTGATCCACAATCAGGTATTGAGAGATCCCAATTCAATTGGATATGTGTATGATTAATAAGTTTGCTACAGCTACTGTAACAAATTACCACAAACTAGGTGACTAAATAGAAATAAACAGTCCAAAGCTCAAAGTCATGTCATTGGGCTGAAATTGAGGGGTGAGCAGGGCTGTTCAGCTCCAAGCCTCTGGAGTGTAGCCCTACTTTCACCTGAATTTCAGTCCCCTGATTTTAGACTTGGGATTGAGAATAATTCTTGGGGCTGGGGATGTAGCTCAAGGAGTAGCGCGTTCGTCTGGCATGCGTGTAGCCCGGGTTCGAGCCACATGCAAGGCAAGTGAGCTACCTACATACAAAGATGTTGTGTCCGCTGAAAACTAGAAAATAAACATTAAAAAATTCTCTCTCTCTTAAAAAAAAAAAAGAGAGAGAATAATTCTTTTTTTTTTTTTTTGCACTGAGGATTGAACCCATGGGTGCTTTTGAGACAAGGTCTTGCTAATTTGCTGAAGCTGGCCTCAAACCTTCAATCTTGTATCAGTCTTTTGAATCACTGGGATGACAGGTGTGTGTCACTGTGCCCAGTTAAATTTCTGGGGTTTTCCTGTGGTGCTGGCATGCAAGGCAAGCACTCTACCAACTGAACTATATCCCTAGCCCAAACCTCTGTTGTTTTAAGTCACCAATTTATGGAGGACAGCTTGCTCCTCATGGTTGCCAGCATTCCTTGGTTGCAGCTACGGCACTCCAATCTTCAAGGACCATATCTCCAATCTCTGTGCTCGGCCCTTAACATGTACTTCTCTAGATACATCACATTTCCTCCTGCTTCCCTCTTCTAGACTGCATGTGATTGCATTTAGGGCCCACAGGATAATCTCCCCATCTCTAGACATTTAACTTCATACCTCTATCTCCTTTTTACCATAAATGGCTCAAGGGATCAGAATATGGATATCTTTGGGGAATCATTTTTCAGACTACTACAGATAAAATTCATGTGATTGTTAAGAATATTAAACAATGAAAGATCAATTTCCTTAAGACAAAAGGTCTTTAGAATCAAAGAAAGATATTTAGAAATATTATAGATTATTTCAAAGAAATATCAAGTCTAATCATATGATCAACTCAACAAGAAGCTGCAGACTTTTATGAGTAGACAAACTCACTGAATTCAAGAGACTCTATGTGATTATGCTTTTAAGTTACAGAGTCAATGACAAACTATTATAAATAGAATACATGAAATTCTATCAAGATTTCTCATTAGAATACAATCAATGATCCAGATCAAATGTGTGGTTAGGAGCAATAGGTATAAAAAAAATTAACCTTATATGGTCAATAAAAGCATTAGTAGAGTTGGAATCTCTAAGACAAAGTTAAAAGCTAAACATGTAGTGAATAAATACAGTAATATGGAACTGATAGTGATTGTTGGGAAAAAATTTAAATTTTTTTTTTAAAAACCCATTCAAACGATGGTTTGACAAAGGGACAGTCAATATTCAAAAAAAAAGCAATGTAATAATAAACCAGCAATGCCTATTTTTAGATTCAATGACCATCAGAGGCATAAAAGAGTATCCCAATGCCTCGGGAGGCTAAGCCAGGAGGACTTCATTCAAGGCTAGCCTCAGCAACTTAGCAAGATCCTATCACAAAAATGAAAAAGGGCTGAAGATTAGCTCAATGGCAAAGTGTTCCTGGTTTCAATCCCCATACTAAATAAATAAACAAACAAATAAACATTCTCTTCATGATGTACTTTAAAAAACCTAAAGTTAATAGACTTAATTCCTTTGAATAAAAATAGGTATGAGAAATTTTGATAAAAAGTTAAACTTTATGAATTTCTGATGAAATTTAAACTTTATAACCTTAAAAACATTAATATAATCTAGTTTTAGAAAATTAGATAGTCACCTGGTAGTTGAAATGTGTAAAAACTGTCATGAATCAATACTTACTGGCCTCTGGGCCTGGCTCTGGCACTAGTGTTTATTAAAGTGATTTCAAAACCTACTGATGCTTTAAACTGTGGGTTTAGACATATTTGTTTCTATTTCTATCTATTAAAGAATAAACTTTTTGAGGGTGCGGCTAGTTATTTAACTTTGTATCCTCGCACTCTATTATATACTTTATAATTATTACCATGTTTAATCCTCATAACAGCCAAGGAATTTGGTATTATAACCCCCATCTTACACACAAAGACCTTAAACCTTAAAAGAGGTTTCATGAAATGGCCAAGTTACTAAGTTGTGGGTCAAAGATTCGAACTGAAGCCTTCTGATGTCAACTGTGAACACTGCCACCTAGCACACAAAGACATTGGTTTGGAAAAGCCAGTCTGGGTTTTACTTAATTAACAACAATGAAAAAACTAGTCAAGATTATTGTCAAGGTATAAGCTCTTGCGTTTCATCAATGCTTCCCATTTTAACCAGATGACCCGACAAAATGTTTTTTAAATCTGGACACTGTCATAATCATTTGTGGCAAATTTCCTGAGGAAATTAGACATAGGCCATCTTAAAATCCAAAAGATATAAAACATTAAAAGAGAACAATTCAATAACTTGATCAAACCATATGGTGACTGTCAATCTACCAAATTATTTGAAAATTTTACATGCTATAAGTAGAAGAGATAGATAAGTTTTGGAGACATGCTTCTTAAGACAGGATGAAGACTAGATGTGTATAGAGACAAAAATATAGAAAGAAAGTCAGAATAAAAGCCAAATTTCAAGAAAGGAAATCAAAGTCAAGAGGTTGAACTTGGAAGAATATTACAAAGGGAGAACAGAATAAGAACAAACTGCTTATCAGACAGAGGCATGTGAGCTGAAGATGAATTTTCATCTCTTGAAGAAAAGTACCATTTCATGTTTAAAAAAAAAAAAAAAACACAGAGAATTCACAGGTATCAGTAAGTAAAATGAATCTTATTTATTGATAATTTCCTAATGAGGGCTTAGGAAGAAGCCATGTTTACCTTCAAATGGCTATTACAAGACAGATATTTTTTCTTAAGATATGACAGAGCCTTACAAAGTTGGACACACTCATCACTAACTAATTAGTTTATGAAGTGAGTAAGTAGCGCATAACCCAGTAGGCAACATGTAAGCGCGAAGTGTAATGGTCCTGACTTTAAAACCTAATTTTGAATTTTGGCTTGGCCACTTCAAAATTGTGTCCTTGGACAAATTACTTAACCATCTTAAACCTTAGTTTCCTCATCTATTAAATGGAAAAACATTGCATTTGCTCACATGTTTCTTGGGAGGACTGTATTCAGCAATAAGTAAAATAAGGCAATAGGGGCACAGCAGTACCATACTCAGTACATAGCATCGAATTTACTAAACAAACAGTAGCTATTATTTATTTATTTTTGCAATACTGGGGACTGAACTGAGGGACACTGAGCTACATTCTCTGCCCTTTTATTTTTTTATGTTGAGACAGGGTCTCATTAAATTGCCCAGGCTGGCCTAGAACTTACAATTCTCCTGCCTTAGCCTCACAAGTTCCTGGGTTATAAGCAAGTGCCACCACACACAGTTCAGAAGCTATTATTAATAATTACATCTTGAAAAACCTGTATCACATCACTAGCACTTTTAAAAACCTAGAACAAAAATGAAGAATTCAGGAATGGGGAAATAGGGGGAAAAGAAATCATGTACTTTGGAGTCAGGCAAATCCCAGTGCTTAAAAACTCTGGCTCTAACACTTACAAATTCTATTACTTTGACCACATTTTTTGATCTGTCTCCACTTACATTTCTTAAAAGGGAAATAGACACTACATACTACACTTCATAGAAACACTGAAAAGATTAAAAGCAACCAATGAGAAAAGCTATACCATGCAAAAATAAACAGAGGTCTACAGTAAAATCATACAAAATTAAATTGAAGGTAAAAAGCATTAATTGGACCAAAAGGGTAGCCTTCTGATGATAATCACTGCACTAAAGATGCAGCCATCATAATCTTACGAATGAAACAGCAAAAGTGATAGAAAACTCAAGTTACGACTAAAAGAAATATTGGCAATGAGATATTTTAACATATTTCCTCTGAATCCTGGACTCATGATGGGGTATAAAATAAGTAAAAAATAGAGAGGAAGCAATTAGTAAGTCATTACCTTAGAAGAAACAATATAGAAAAATAATAGAATTGATTAATAAAATCCAAGATCCAGTTGTAGGAAAAATTAGGTAAATCTCTTGCTTCCCTCAGATATTTCTTGAGTTGTAAATATATATTTAGAAAGAGAGAAATAAATGGAGAAATGGAGAATGGAGAAATCCTAGCAGGAAAAAGAAGGGTATAAAATAGTTTAAATATTACAATCCCATTAATGATAATTTTTAGCAATAACATATTTGAGGATGTATAGATTAAAATACAGAAAAATAGCTGTTTTATAATGATTATTTCTGCTCAGGGTAGGAAACGTAAGATAATGGGGATCTTAAGAATGTAATAAATAAAATTCTGCAATGACTAAACTATGGCATAGGTTCAACAAATAAACATGTCAAAATAATCAGAAAGCATTTTAAGCTAGATTTGGCACATTTTTAATATAAAAAATATTATCTCTCTTTGTAAGATATAACTGGATTTGCAGCTAATTAAACCAATGAAGATTATGAATCCAAGCTGATGTGGAGAGGAATCTATGACGACAGGCCAGTCTCAGCTCTTAGCTTTTTCTTTGGTACCAGGGAATGAACCCAGGGATCCTTAACCACTGAACCACATTCCCAGGCCTTTTTATTTTTTTCTTGAGGCTAAGTTGTTAAGTCTGGCTTTGAACTTGCGATCCTCCTGTCTCAGCCTTCCAAGCTGCTAGGATTATAGGCAGGTGCCAAAGTACCTGGCTAAGCTCTTAGCTTGGTCTTACTAGGAACACAAGGCATGTATACTACTGATTAGCTGGGAAAATAGGTTATAAAAACTGGATGTCAATAGACCAAAGAAAGAAGTTCAGGTACATCTGTGTCATAGACCAAAGAAAGAAGTTCAGGTACATTTCTGCAGTGTTTTTATTTTTTTCTTTCTTTGGTCTATTTTTTTGGGGGAAGGAGGGGGTGTTGAGGATTTAACCCAGTGGCAATTTACCACTGATGTACATCCTCCACCCTTTTACTTTTTGAGATAGGATCTCACTAAGTTGGTCAAGACCTCACTAAATTGTTGAGGCTGGCCTTGAACTTGTGATCCTCCTGTCTCAGCCTCCAGAGCTGCTGTGATTACAGGTGTGTGCCACTACACCTGGATGCCCTATTTTCTTTACATGACTATGTAGATCATAAAAAAATCATAAAATCTAGATGAAAAAATATTTATAAGGCGGCTAGGCACGATGGCGCACGCCTGTAATCCTAGCAACTAGGGAGGCTAAGGCAGAAGGACTGTGAGTTCAAAGTCAGCCTCAATAAAAGTGAGGTACTAAGCAATTCAGTGAGACCCTGACTCTAAATAAATTAAAAAATAGGGCTGGGGATGTGGGCTCAGTGGTCAAGTGACCCTAAGTTCAATCTCCAGTACCCCCAGGCAAAAGTTGGTAAGGTGAACTGAAATAATAAAAGAATCACCTATACCCATGTTGTAATTATAATTATTTCAATTTAAGAGAAAAAGCCTATGTGGAGAACCAATGTCTAAAAGGGATTATGGAAAATTAAAAGTTGTTGCTAGGGCTGGGGTTGTAGCTCAATGGTAGAGTGCTCGCCTAGCATGTAGAAGGCTTTGGATTAGATCCTCAGCACCACTTAAAAATAAAATAAAGGGGGCTGGGAATGTGGCTCAAGAGGTAGCACGCTCGCCTGGCGTGTGTGCGGCCTGGGTTCGATCCTCAGTACCACATACAAATAAACATGTTGTGTCCGCCAAAAACTAAAAAATAAATATTAAAAATTCTCTCTCTCTCAAAAAATAAAATAAAGGTATTATGTCCATCTACAACTAAAAAAATATTAAAAAGTTGTTGTACAAGAGCATTGGGATTACAGGGAATAATTTTTGTCTTTAAAAATGAAGCTTTTATTACTATGTTTGTGCAGCAAATAAAAACCAAGAGAATTATTACACTTACTACACGGAGGTCCTCGATGCGTTTTTCAAGAAGTACAGGTAGACCTTCTGGGAGTGTAGGTACCACCTTAGGCATAACCTGAGAGGTGAAGGTTGGCTGGGTGGTGTTTCCATTTTCTCCCCCTGATTCAGATAGGGGGCTACCATCAGAAGCAGCATCCAGTAATCTGTCAAAGTCGAAATCATCCAGTATCTCTAGGGCATTTTCAGCTTCCTGAAACAATTCGTGTTCATTTGTGCTAACAAAAATGGGGAGCTCTGGATCAGTGCTGTTCAGATTTAATTCTGGGACGTCATTCCCCAATGCTGTAGCAGCACAAAGAGGCTTGGTAAGAGAGGAGGTCGATAAGGTCACAGGAACTTTGGGGTTAGACTCTGTTTTTAATGCATCCTTCTCTTTCTGAAATTTTCGAATCATGGCAGCTAGAGAAAGAGAATCTTTATATCGTTTCTTCTTTTTTTCAGACTTGTGTGAATTTAGAGCCACAACTCTGTGAAGAAAAAAGCGATCAGTGAGGCTACATATAACTTTAACTATCTTCTGATCATCTTTCATTTTCCACTCTAGGAATAGCCATGTTGGCAACCAGATATGGATATGTGTAATTCTCAATGATAACCTCCTTACATGAACCATAGGGAAAGGTCTCAATTTAGCTATCGATTCCTCTAGAAATCTTTTCCAAATCCCATGGCTTAGATGTTTCTACATGTGCTACAAAATCTAAAAGATTATTAGTACTTGAAGGGAGGTCAATCAAACCTACAACAGTCCTAGTGTAGAAGAAAAAATATTTACTTAATAAATTTATAATTTGAAAAAAATTCAATAAAAGGTATTACTTATAGCTTATGTTTCACAAGAGGTTTACTTGTAAATAATGAATATTTAAGATAACCATTAGTGGGCTAGGGTTGTAGCTCAGAGGTACACCTAGCACATGTGAGGCACTGAGTTTGATCCTCAGAACCACATAAAAAAAGTTAAAAAGAAACCTTTAAAGATAATCATTATTAACGCACACAATTTTTCTCCCCCTAATCTCTTAATGATTCTAGGTCATGATTACAACAGTAATCCCATGTTTAGGAGAGGAGAAATACCTCCCTAAATCAATCTTTTGGATACAGACAGCCTCAGATGCAGATGTTCCTCCCTGCTAAGGAGGGACAGAAAACCCAGATTTTCATAAGTTTTTCCCTTAGATCTGTGAAAAATGCTACTGAGAAGTAGAGACAATGCCAATTTTTAATTATATCATACAAATATTTTATTCTTCAGATGTAAGATTTATTTTCGGTATTAAGGATTGAACCCAGGGTGTTCTAATACTGAGCTACATTCCCAGATCCTCAGCCCTTTTTATTTTTTAATTTTGAAACAGGGACTAAATTGCCCTGGTTGCCCTCAAAATTTCAACCTTCCTGCCTCAGCCTCAGGAGTTGCTAAGATTATAGGTATGTGCCACCAGCCCAGCTGACTTAAGGCTTCTGAAAAATTCTATTTGTTTTTTAGCAGCAATGTCACCTAAAGTCATAAGCATTAAGAATAGCTAAATAGGGCTGGGGATGTAGCTCAGTGTTAGATTTCTTGGTTAGCATGTGTGAGGCTCTGGGTTCGATCGCTAGTACTGTCAAGGGTGTGGTGGATGGAATCAATGACATTTTTTCCCCCCTTTTCCTCCTCTTCTTTTTTTTGTGGTTCTGGGGATTAAACTCAGAGCCTCCCACATGCTAGGCAAGTGATCTACCACTAAGTTATATCCACAGGCCGTGATTTGTTTTTTTAAATATTAAAACAACTATAAATTGTTCATATATAGGCTACTGCTAATCCTTAATCCCAGACATCAAAATTAGTGTTAGTACCAAAAGATTAAAAAAAGTGGGCTGGGAAAATAGTTCAGTTGGTAGACTGCTTGCCTCACATGGGCAAGTCCCTGGGTTCAATCCCCAGTACCAAAAAAAAAAAAAAAAAGTTATTTGAGGGCTGGGGTTGTGGCTCAGTGGTAGAGTGCTTGCCTAGAATGTGTGAGGCACTGGGTTTGTTTCTCAGCACTACATTAAATAAACAAATAAACAAATAAATAAATAAAATAAAAGTATTGTGTCCATCTACAACTAAAAAATTTTAAAAGAAAGTAATTGGATCTTTATGCCATCTTTTAAAACTAGCTCTTGCTGGTTAAACAAACAAAAACTGTAATGAGCAACATGCTCAATGTACTACTCTAAAAATCTGACCTTAAACATCATGAGTCTCATAGATGACAATGCCTTCCAGTTATTAATGTATAACAAAATATTATTAAAACATAACTAGATTACTACTATTTGTAAATATTAAATTAGACTTAGCTACTCTTAATTAGTGGTGAACCTTAATTAATTTATTTATTCTAAAAGGAGAAACAGACTATGACAGTAGTTCTCTTATTGGGTTCCACTTACCCCAGTTGTTTAGGTACTTTTTTCCTTGGTTTCTTCTCCTTTTCCCCTTCCTCTTTTCGTTTCCGCTTCTTCATTTCGATATCATCTTCTTTTATTTTGGGAACCTGCAAAAATGATAAAATAACACACCATTTATTTATTTATTTTTAAATTTATTTTAAGAATGCATCATTTATTTAAATATCAATGCTCTCTTTTTTTGATGTTAGCAGTGGTTTTTCTCAAGTGTCAAAATGTAACAGCATTACTTGCTTCAAGTGCACGTTCTTGAGGTCCATAAGCGCTTTCAGTTCTCTAGAATAGGGCCTTCAAATATGAATTTTTGACATGCATTTTGGTGATTCTGTTACAAGTAAGTCTTTGGCCCTCATGTCAGCAAACATTTACCTATGTACATTATTCATTTCCCAAATGCAGTATATCCAATTCTATAGAATTTGTTAATTAGATCTCAAGAAAGGTAACAGTTATCAACAGTCATTTCTTTTTTTTTTAATTTTAGGTGGACAAAATATCTTTATTTTATTTTTATGTGGTGCTGAGGATCGAACCCAGTGCCTCACACATGCCAGGTGAGCGCGCTACCACTTCAGCCACATCCCGAGCTCTACCAACAGTCATTTCTATAGCAAGTCGTCTTCCTTTTTTTTTTTTTTAAGTCATTGATGGACCTTTATTTATATGTGGTGCTGAGAATTGAACTCAGTGCCTCACACATGCTAAGCAAGCGCTTTGCCACTGAGCCACAACCCCAGCCCAGCAAGTCTTAACCTATCCTAGAAATTTAACTTTATCCCCAAAACAGCAGACAATTAAACCACATCATAGAGAGTAAAAGAAAACAATTCTGTGATGTAAACACCAATTTTCCCAAATCCACATACTTTTACTTTAAAGCATGCATTAAGTATATAATCATTGAGCTATGGTTAGTATTTTACTTCTCCTTATATTCACAACTGTGGACCAAGTTAAGATTCAAAAGGTATATCCTATTAATTTAACGTTCTCTTTAGCATTGCAGTGTTGGAGAAACTCACCTTGGGTGGCTTGTGCTTTTGGTTGTCTGTGATATCTTCTTCTTCAGTATCTGAAGCTTGGCGAAACTGCAGAGTGCCAGTGTTGATATAAAAGCCTCCATACTTTGTTGTTAAAGAAGCAGGTACTAATTCATCATACTAGATTAAAAGGAAAAACTTTAAAGATATATCCTATTGTCTATAACTCTAAATGTCAAAGAAATTCATTCACCATGGAAACATTTTCCTTAAAAACCAACTGCAAAACTGACTGCAAACCTAGCAATCCCACTGCTGGGTACGTGCCAAGGGCATCATGCTTAATTTAAAAGAAATAAAATGAATGGGGAGGGGGAGAAGTTAGGATAGCAATTAGGATGTCTGCACTCTTGTGGTTCAATGAAGCATTATTCACAACAGCCAAGATACAAAATAATCTGAGTGTCTGTTAATAAATGAATAGATTTTTAAAATGTGGTCTATTAATACAGTGGAATAGTATTTTAGCCTTAAAAAACAGGAAATTCTGTCATTTGCAACAACATGGATCAACCTAGAAAAATACCATATAATCTCCCTTACATGTGCAATCTAAATAAACTAAACTTAGAGACATAGGGTAGAATGGTAGACAGATGCTCAGGGGGAGTAGCAGAAGAGGAAATGAGAGGTGCTGGTCAACAAGTTCAAAATTATAGGTAGACAGGAAGAATATGAACTGGTATTCTATTGCACTGTAGGGTGATTATAGTTAATAATAATGTATATTTCAAAATAAGAGAGGAGTTTCAATGTTCTCACCAAAACAAATGATTTTTGAGGTGACAGATATGACACTGATCATTTGCAAAATGTACACGTCAAAGCATTATGTTGTACCCCCCTGAATATGTGCAATTATAATTTATCAATTAAAGAAAAAGAAAAAAGAACTGCAATGATGAAGTTCATAGAATAAATTTAGAAAAAGTTCATTATCTGGAATAAAAGTCAGTTCTAATCATTTGGTATATTTAACAAAGGATATTACCTGATGAGAAAAAGTTAAGGATCACTACCACTGTTTCTTTCTTCATTCTCACTGCTACTATTCTTAATATCAATTTTTTTAATACCTCATTTTATTTATTTATATTTATTTGTATGTGGTGCTAAGGACTGAACTCAGTGCTTCACACATGCTAGGCAAGCACTCTACCACTGAGCCACAATGCCAGCCTGGTTTCAAATGTTTTTGATGAGAAGTTTAAACACAGTAAAACAGATGGCTGAATGACCATATAAAGAGATTATAATCATACAATTATTCTGTCTTGGTGAGATATCTATCTATCTATCTATATAGATATAGATATAGATAGAGATACATATATTTTTTTTTTTTTGGTGGGGGGTGGTACCAGGGATTGAACTCAGGGGCACTTGACCACTAAGCCACATATCCCCAGCTCTATTTTGTATTTTATTTGAGACTGGGACTCACTGAGTTGCTTAGCACCTTGCTGTTGTTGACAATGGCTTTGAACACACAATATTCCTGCCTCAGCTTCCCAGGCCTCTGGGATTACAGGTGTGCGCCATTGTGCCTAACCCTTCATTCCTTTTTCAATTTGGCAGCCTAAATGTGAAATTATTTTTAATGCTTCAAAGCATTTATTTTCAGATATTTTTAGTAATAAGCACATGATTCTAAAAATTAATTAGAACCAGATTATTTTCATTTTTTATAAAATAATTTGCAAATGTGGAAAGTTTACTGAGAACACAACAAGGAATCATTTAATTAGATTACAATTGTTTGATGCCTGGATTATCTCATAAACAGAACAAAATAATTTGTTAAGGGCAATGATAGTAAATTAGTTTGGAAGTCAACTTGTATAATAGTTTGATTTCCTCTTATAAAATAAGGACCTATATTGTCTTATAAATGTCAGTAACCAACTATATAACTTAACAACTCTATCTACAAAATTATCTTTTTTTTTTTTCCAAAAATTATCTTTTTAGAGCAGTAACTTTCAAATTTTCTTCCCCATAACACATGTGGAAAATCCACTGCACATCAAAACCAAGCATATGGGCTTGGGGTAGTAGCTCAGTGGAAGAGCACTAACCTAGCACATGTGAGGCACTGGGTTCAATCCTCAGCACCACATAAAAATAAATAATCAGCATACTACAGTGACACAGTCATATCAATGTTTATAGCAGCTCAATTCACAACAGCCAGACTATGGAACCAACCTAGATACTCTTCAACAGATGAATAGTTAAAGAAAATGTGGTATATATACACAATGGAATATTACTCAGCCTTAAAGCCAAAAACTATGGCATTTGCCACTAAATGGATGGAGCTGGAGAATATTATGCTAAGCGAAATAAGCCAATTCCGAACACCAAAGGCTGAATATTTTCTCTGATATGCAGATGCTAATTCACAATAAGCGGGGGGCTAGGGTAAAATAGAGGTACTTTGGATTAGGCAGAGAAAAGTGAAGGGTGGGGAGGGGGTTTGGGAGTAGTAAGGATAGTAGAATAAATTGGACATTATTACCCTTTAAGGTAATAATTACTTCTTTAAGGCTGAGTAATATTCCATTGTGTATATATACCACATTTTCTTTATCCACTCATCTTGTGAAGGGCATCTAGGTTGGTTCCATAGTACATATATGAATACTTGAGTGGTGTGATTCTACATCATATATAACCAGGAGAATGAGAAGTTATACTCCAGTTATGTATGTTGCATCAAAATGCATTCTACTGTCATGTATAATTAATTAGAACAAATAAAAAGGTAAATAAATAAAATGAAGGTATTGTGTACATCTACAACTAAAAAAATTCTAAAAACAAGTGTATACATACATAATAAAATTATGTGATCTTTAATAACTCCTAATCTATTTGATTTCATATTCTTTAAAAAACTAGTCATACCCTTTATTTTTTATTTTTTTTAAATATTTATTCTTAAGTTTTAGGTGGACACAATATCTTTATTTTGCATTTATGTGGTGCTGAGGATCGAACCCAGTGCCTCGTGCATGCTACGTGAGCACTCTACCACTGAGCCACAACCCCAGCCCCAAGTCATACCCTTTAAATAGACATATAAGCCAATTATAGCTTGAAAAAGTCAGTTTGTATTTAAAAATACTCTAAATGCTACAAAGGAGCTGGGGATATAGGTCAGTGGGTAGAGTGCTGGCCTCGCATGTACACGGCCCTGGGTTCAGTCCCTAGCGCGTGCGCACACACCCACAAAGTCTAAATGCTATAAAAGAAGTTATTAATTAAAATTATTTACAAAAGTCTACATACTATAGATTTCAACTGTAAGGAAAAGCCAAAACTGTGCAGACAGTTATATGTCTGTCACAGGCTAGGAGAGAAGGGAGGGATAAATGGGCAGAGCATAGAGGATTTTTAGGAAAGTATCACTACTGTAATACTATATTATATACTATATTACTATAATGGTGGATACATGTCATTATACATTTGTTCAAACTCAAAGAATGTACAACTGGTGGGAACATTGATGTGAACTATGAACTTTGGTGATACTGGTGGATCAATGTAGGTTCCTCAATTGCAACAAATGAATGACTATGATATAGAATATTGATAGTAGGGGAGGTTGTGTGCCTTGGGGCAAGGTGTACATGGATGCTCTCTGTACTTTCTGCTTACGTTTTCTGTGAATCTAAAACTGCAGTAGAACATAAAGTTTATTACTTTTCTTTTTAAGCTATTTATGTAAGCATGCATAAATGTTTACCCATGAGTTCCTTTTTGGATTATTCAGGTTTTGAAATCTGATATAATGTTAACATTATTGCTAATGCTTTGTACTTGCTTTATGCTTCAGCATATTTATATTCATTGCCTTATTTGGGCCTCAGAATAATTCTGAGCAAGTAATGGTAGAGAAAACCAAGTGATGCTATAAAGCCTGCTCCTGGTTACATGGTGACTTAGAAACTGATGTAGAACTAGATTCTAGGACTTCTACCTTGAGTTCCAAATCACAGTCAAGACTCTTGAAACATTCCATAACCACAATGGCTGTTAACCTTTTTGATTGTGGAAAGGTATCCCTATCTCATGTAACTCTATATCATGTACAACCAGATCAATGAGAAGTTATACCCTATTTATGTATGATGTATCAAAATGCATTCTACTGTCCTATAACTAATTAGTACAATAAAAATATATTTAAAAAGAAAAAGGTATCCCTACTCCAAAGGGCCCTATTGATATGTCATAGTTAGTCAGGACACACAAAAAAAATTTAAAAGTATGACAGGATATTCCATATGCATCATGCTGGATGACGACCTTCCTATCACATCACTCTCTTGCCTGTAATGCTTTGTCATCAACTAACTATACAAGAAAGCACTGTAACCACAGGCAAAAGACATGCTAATTTGTGAGTAGTGTAAAAGTTAAATAGTGTCACTCTGCACACTCTAAGTAATCACTGTACACTGTATAGATATTATAATCCCAGGGATTAGATTACTAATGGACAATAATAGAAGAACATACTCCCTAAGGCAAAATAGGAACACCCTCATTCATATGCTACATGATCAAGAGATTACTACCATCCTTATGAAATCCTGCTTCCTCTTAGAAGAAAAAGAATTTCAGGAGAAAAGCTATAGGATTCGATCAAAACAGACTGATATTAGAGGCTGAAACCACTGTGATAGTAAGGCATACTGCAATTTTAAAATTAAGTGTATTTTATAGATGTCTGCCAAGTCAAGTTCAATCCAGTGGCACCAATATTGCTTTGTCTCATCTTCAAAGTCATTTCAAAATACACCTGTCCAAAGTAAGGGAATATTAAAAAAAAAAAAAAAAAGAATTCAAGATGAAAATACCATTTGACCTATAAATTCCATTGCTTAGAAATTTAGCCTACCCATATATTTGTACTCTATAAATACACTGCATATACATTTACTTAAGTAGATAAATGCATACAATATGCTCAACTATTTGTAAACATATAACACCAGAAACAATTTAATGCACATCAACTAGGATTGGTTAAATAAATTATGCAATTTAGGTATGTCCCCAACAACCATTAAAAGGAATGTATCTCGATCCTTATATGTTTTCTAGTTTATAACTATCTTGTGTTTTTTTTTAATCATAACATAATAGTAATCAATTGATGGTAATCAATATACCAATATATTATATATTCGTTTTATTAAAATCAAAAACATAACAAAAAAATACAACACCAAAAATCTCTTAAGCCTCACCTCCAGAAATTCTAATTAAGTCTGAGTTAAGACAAGAATCCCCAGATTTTTACCCCTGATTAAGAACCATTCATTAACATAAAGTTTTCAGTACTAAACCATTAATTTAATGTAATAGCTTTTCATTTTCCTTTTTTTTCTTTTGCCCTCATTTTCCCCTTTCTTAAACTTATTTTCATTCTTAGTTTGGGAAAGGGAGGAAGACAGAATCATTGCTAACTACACATCTGGAAACTAGCATCTACTAAAGAATCGTGATTCTCGAAGGACCTAAGAGCAAGCACAGCTTATCAAAAACAACAATCTAGTACAACGTCAACAAACCATGATTGCCCACCAAACCCAGCTGCCAAGAAAAAGGATTTCATGTTTTTTAAATGGTTGAGAAAAAAATTACAAGATTCTGTGACACATGAAAATTACACAAATTTAAGTGCTGGGGTGTAAACTCAAGTGTGAGAGCGCTTGCCTGGCCTATGTGAGGTCCTGGGTTTGAGCCCTAGCCTGAGAGACAGAGAAAGAGAGAGAGAGACAGACAGACAGACACGAGACAGAGAGAGAGAGAGAGAGAGAGAGAGAGAGAGAGAGAGAAAATATAAATAAATTTAAAAAGAATTTGAGGGGCTGGGATTGTGGCTCAGTGGGTGAGGCACTGGGTTTGATACTCAGCACCACATAAAAATAAATAAATAAATATAAAGGCATTGTGACCACCTACAACTAAAAAAAGTTAAAAAAGAATTTGAATATCAGAGTTCATCCAAAACATCTCATTATAAATGCCATATTTATTTGCTTAAATATTGTCTGTGGCTGCTCTCACACTATAATGGCAGAATAGCTGTGACAGTACCATATGGCCCACAAATTCTAAAATATTTACCATGTGGCCCTTTAAAGAAAAAGATGTTTGCCAAAACCTGGTCTAGTATAGTAGTGTAATGACCCACTGTGAGCCAACCCAACATTACAAAATTTTAAGTCTTCAGTATGCCTTAAAAATTTTTTTAAAAATCTTTAGGGGCTGGGGATGTGGCTCAAGCGGTAGTGCGCTCGCCTGGCATGCATGCGGCCCGGGTTCGATCCTCAGCACCACATACAAACAAAGATGTTGTGTCCGCCGAAAACTGAAAAATAAATATTAAAAATTTTTAAAAAAATCTTTAAGCAGTAAATATGGCTTTAAAAAGCACAAACAAGGGCTCAGGTTGTGGCTCATGGCAGAATGCTTGCCTTGCACATGTGAGGCACTGGGTTCGATTCAGCAGCACATAAAAATGTATAAACAAAATAAAAATACTGTGTCCATATATAACTTTAAAAAAGCATAAACGAACACATTCATTGAACAAGTTAAGTTACCCTTGACTTTCACTATTCCAATAAATTTGCTGCTATATTAAAGACATGTTACTCACAGCCTCTGAGTTATCAATAAATGGATCTGTCTCATCATAGCCAAAGCCTATGTCAATTAAATCTTGTAGCCGATCCTTCCGGTGCTTACGGGGTTTCCCACCCTGCAAAAAACAGACACATTAGACTGATTCAGTACTCATGCTGTTTCCATAAAGTTTAAAAAAACCTATTCAAAGAATTCAAATAATTTTTGTAAATAAATCCCTGCAGATGGTTAAGTCTCCCCATACCTTATATAAGCAGCTGTGCTTAGTGACTTGCCTTCATAGCTCAGAGTGAGAAAAGAGGAACAAAGTAACTTTACAATGGAAAACCTGCCCAACTTTACATCAGCCAGATGACATCAACAGGAACAATGATAAGTAGATGGCACATATCCCTGATATATATGATAAAAACTGCACTTCCCTTCTGTGGGTCTTCCTCTCAACTGCCTATAAAACTAGCACAGCCATGAGAAAAACATCAAACAGACCAAATTGATAGTCTATAAAATAAGTTCTCCAAAGCTGTCAAGATTATCAAAAAAAAAAAAAGGAAAAATCTGAAAAACTGTCATAGTCCACACCAGCCTAAAGACACAAAGACTAAATGAGCTGTGGTACCATGGATAGGATCTAGGAACTGAAAAAGTACATTAGGGAAAACTAGTAAAATCCAAATAAAGTTTAGAGTTTAATGGTAATGTATCAATGTCAGTTCCTTCATTATAACAAACATACTACATTGAATGTAAAATATTCATGTTAGTGGGTGAGGACTATATGAAAACTCTTTGTATTATCTTGTTTAACTTTTACTTTTTTGGAATTGGAATTAAACCTGGGGAAACTGAGCTACATCTCCAGCCCTTTTTATTTTTTATTTTGAGACAATGTCTCACCAAGTTGCAGAGGCTGGACTACAGGTTGAGATCCTCCTGCTTCAGCCTCCCAGATTATTGGGATTATGAAAGTATGCACTGCTATGCCCAGTTCTAAATTGTAGCTTTTCTGTAATTTAAAAACTATTCTTAAAATTATTTTTTAAATGTCATATAATCATACACATAAACACAAGAAAATGATAAATGAGTGCATACAAAAACTGATGAAATGAGCTGGGCATGGTGGTTTATGCCTGTAATCCCAGTGGCTCAGGAGGCTGAGGCAAGAGGATCACAAGTTCAAAGCCAGCCTCAGCAACTTAGCAAGACCCTGTCTTAAAATAAGGGTTAGGGATGTGGCCCAGTGGTAAAGTACCACTGGTACCAAAAACAAAATAAAACAACAACAAAAAACCCACATGGTATCAAAAACTGGTGAATCAGAATAATGTCTGTGGTCTGGTTAGTTGTATTGTGCCACGTTTATTTCCTAGTTTTGTAACTGCAGTTATATAAAATATTACCACTGGCAGAAGTTGGGTGGTAGGCATATGGTCTTTTTTACTATAGTTGCAACTTCTTATTAGTCCATAATCCTTTTTTAAATAATCATTTTTAAAAAGTAATACAATGTCAAGATAAACTAGTTCCTGTAGATTCCACTATTCAGATGATACTTTATGGAGCCTTTTGACTATTCACAGTATAAAGAAAAACTCACTTATGTTTGTGTGCACACATACACACACACACATTTTTTTATGTTAAAATAAATGAGTTAGGAATGTGGTTCAGTGGTAAATCTACCACAGCTCAGTGACAGATGGGCCAGAACCATTAAAAAAAAAAAAAAAGTGTGCGGGTGTGTGTGTGTGTGTGTGTATGTGTGCACACAAACATACTTGCTTAGCCTATAAGTTTATTTTGGATTTTTAAATTTTAATTTTTACTCACTCATATTCAATTACTCATTCTAAGCATCCTTCTAATGCCTCCCTACCCCATTTCTTTCAGACTGGGTCAGGGGTGAAGAAGAGGCTCAGAATGGTGAGGTAAGGGGTGGGGAAGATAGAAGATAGCACTCAGGATTTTGCCTACCAAAATGCTACCACTGAGCCACAGTAGGCCTTGTGGAAAGCAAGAGATTTAAGATGTGAACTTCTAGAGCCGGGGTTGTGGCTCAGTGGTACAGCACTTGCCTAGCATGCGTGAGGCACTGTGTTTGATCCCCAGCATCACATAAAAAACAAATAAATAAATAAAATAAAGGTTTTGTGTCCATCTACAACTAAAAAAGTATTTAAAAAGAAAGATGTGAATTTCTATGACCTCATTTCATTTCAGTCCTCACAGTGAATGTGTGATTCTAAAAGTTAAAGAGGGACACTTTTATGCCACATGGCCCTTAAATAAAAGTTGTTTGCTTCCATGTAAAGAAATTGTGATCTGTTCCAGTGCTTGAGAGGAAAAATGGTGATACTAGACTTACTGAGAGACATCACCAACAGGGTGTGATCCCTTTCTACGTGATTTGCAAAGATAATTCTGAACAAATGCTATGTTTGCATTCCACATAGTTGTTGAAAACCTTACCCCAACATGAGCTATGGCTCCAGGGTTTGCTTCTAAGTGGACAAAATACTATTACACTACCATCACTACCCAAGAAATCCCTATGGTGTGAGGTGAAGTGGTGGATTCCTTATTTATTATTATTTTAATGACAGGTTCTCACTAAGTTGCCCAGGCTGGCCTTGAACTCATTATCTCAAGCAATCCTCTGGACTAGCCTCTTTAGTAGCTAGGATTACAGATGCATACACTTTGGTTCCCATATTTAAAAATTTTACAATTTAGGTAAGTTTCAAAAGCAATTCTGGGGCTAACACAGGGTGGCAAACTTGTTATTATGCTAAATAAAGCCACCAAAAGCATAATTTCAGAACAACAATCTTTCTCAAGGAATAATAATCATATATATATGCACATGTATTAAGCATATATACAGAACATGCTTAACTACACAACACACACACTAAATTGTCCCTATTTTCTCATTTTGCCAGATCTGCACACTGGGACCTTTACACCAGGTTATAGAATTACAGTAAGAATCAGATGTCGGGGACAGAAAGAGTTATTTCTCGGACAGGAGTTATTCTACTGAGGAGAAATTACACATCAAGCAGAGGAATATATAGGACTTTCATCCTCATAGAGGGAGTTTCATCCTCATAGTAGGGGCTTGCAGAGGGAGAGAAAGACCTAGAATGTATATAAAAACTCACAGACAAAACTAATGAAGAAGTCTAGGCCTCACATATTAAGTATATTCAAGTTATAGGAGATAAAATAGATATGGTAGGAATTTAAGAATAAATATCTGAGTGGACAGCATTGTGCAGAAATGGGGAAAAAAAGCAGCATTAAATTCAGTGGGGGAAATGATTTATAAATCAAATAAATAGAACTGAAGTAAGAACAATTTTACCTATCAAATTATAAATTTATACAGATGAGGGCTGCTTTAATACTGCTAAAAATATACCAATTAAATATCTTTAGAAAACAATCTGAAAGCTTCTGACAAAACTTTATAAAACTCTTCTATTTTCTTCTTTTGCTTCTTCTGTTTTCTAATTTTTCTCTAAAGTATTACTTCATAATGGAGTATGCTAAAACAATTTTTTAAAACCCTTTATCCTATGTGATCCAATAATTCTACTAAATTATATAGTTTATTTCAAATCACTACTTAGATTTAGAAGTATCTGTTAAGGGTTGAGACAGCAGCTCAGTGGTAGAGTACATGCTAAGCCCATTTGTGAGGCCCTGAGTATAATCTCCAGCACCAAAAAATAAAAATAACAAAAAAAATCTGATAAGACTTATACTACAGAAAATAATATGTTAAAATATCAGAAAGTTTTTTCAGGGGCTGGGGTTGTGGCTCAGTGGTAGAGCACTTGCCTACCACATGTGAGGCAATGGGTTCGAACCTCAGCACCACATGAAAGCATTTAATAAAGGTATTGTGTCCATCTACAACTAAAAAAAAAAAAGAAAAAGAAAGAAAAAGAAGAAAGTTTTTTTTAGTTAAAAGTTCTTGTCTTCAAGAATCTTAAAACAAGATAATTATTCAACAAATTAACTTTTCTAAGCATGTACCACACACTGGCCTTATGGATTTTATAGTATTGTGAAGAGGGGAAAGATTAAACAAATAACTACAGCAGTGATAGACAGCAGAAAGGAAAGATGCAGGTTGTATGGAGACCTTTTTTTTTAGTTTTAAGTGGACACAATATCTTTATTTTACATTTATGTGGTGCTGAGGATCGAACTCAGTGCCTCAAGCATGCTAGATGAACTCTCTACCACTGAGCCACAACCCCCAGCCCTTGTAACAGAGTGCCCTTTCTAACAGAGTCTCTGGTCAAAGCTTAACTTACTCATTTATGCACAAACAAGGCAAATGAAATGAAGCACTGAAGGGATTAGAACAGGGACATAACCCCCCAAAATTAGTGCTGAACAAAATCACCATGAGTATCACACAGAGAATGAACACAAGATAAAACAGAAAGGAAAAAAATGGAGATTTGAAAGTCACGGGTTACTAAAGGCGTAAAGTATATACTTACATTTCAATCATGATGTTGATGGTGCTGATGACAACACTTACCAAGTATTAACTCTGTATTAGATCCCATGTAAGTACTATTATTTTTTAATTTCATGTTCAGCAAATGGGAAAAACAAAAGCTGACTAAGGACAAGCAACTTGTCTAAGGTCACAAAGAAGTGGTGAGCTAATCTTCAAACTCATAGATGTCTAGAAAAAATCTGTAAGAGAAGTTATAAAGACTAAGGGGTCCTATTTTGGATGGACACACCTTAATCTCAATACACCAAAACTGAAATCAGTGTTTGCACTGACGTTTGTCTCCAAATTAATTCCTCTCCCTTGGCATTCCCATCCATTTTGTTTATTCTTACCATTTTTCTGCCTTCAAACTTCATACTGGCTAAAATTAAAGTAACAATAACAATTGTAAACAAGGATGTAGAACAATTTGACATCTTGTACATCACTAATGGGAATACAAGTGATATAGCCATTTTGGAAAACAGCTTGATAGTTTCTTACAAAGTCAATTATACAGTTATACCTTGTGTCCTAACAATCCCACTCTTACATAAATATCCACAAGAGAAATGAAAACTATATCCATA